AATCCCATCTGCTGCCAACTTTCCTAAAATCTCAGTATCACCCTTCGCATTACATTATCCAATTGGTATCAATATTTAAACATTTCCATGAAAAGATATTTGTTCATTGTTTTTTACCGACTGGGATATCACCTCTTTCATCTTGATTACTTTCCCTGTGTTTAAGTTTGGGTGCAATGACAAACAAACAGGTTCACATCTTAAGTCTGAAGGCTTGATTCTTGCTCCATATTTGTGAGGTTATTCCAGCATCTCTTTCATACTTCTAGACAGGATGCAAGATAGGTGATGTCGCTTTCTAATGAACCTCCAACTTTTCTCTCCATCACAATCTTTCTTGTCTTTATTTTAGCAAAGGTATAATATTGAATCACTGGTGTAAACTTACCTCCCAAACCCCAAATTCACTGTCTTACATGCTTGTCTTCCTCTTTGAATCCTCACCGTATTGAAATTGAGACATATCACAGCATCGTCTTTTCCAAGGACCTCAAAACCATACAACAGTCTTGCTTTCCTGCCACTCTCTACAGCCTTGCAACTTAAGCACTATTTCTCTCTCCTGCTTTTTCTTGGTTCAATCTTTAATTATCCCAACACCTAACAGGAACAGCAGTCATGATGATATTCAAACGCGACAAAGTTGAGTTTAAAAAAGAAATTGCACTTTACAAATTGTTGAGTTGAGTTTATTTTCAAACTAACTAATGAGAAAGCATTTTTCTTAGCACCATTTGAAAATGTTTTACTGTAATCATTGTCAAGTATTCTGACTGTTTCGAGGAAGAAGCGAAGCCATTTTATGCACAACGAAACAGTTATGAGACGACTGAGCAGTGTATCTGAAGGATTGTTAGCTGGGCGAATTTCTCTTCGTTTTTCCAATAGTAACAAGTAATCTTTAATGTACATCAGAACAGGCAGACAGGACCTTGGTTTAATATCTCATCCAAAGGACAGCAGCGGACTCAGTACTAATCTGAGTGATGACCTAGATTGTGAATTCAAAGCCTTGACGTGTCGCTTCAACCCAGAAGCATCTGACCCAGAAATGAGAAGGCTGGCAACTGAGTGAAGCTGACACCTCTAGTGGAAAAACATTTGACTGAGTTATCAGCCTAAATCACAAAATTGCAAGATTAGTTTGTATGACTGTTCTGCCATGGTTTAGCAATAGCTGAAGAAGATCAAATGAGCTAGTTGACTCACCACTCTCCATGACGAAACCATATGAGTCAGCTATTATCAAGGCAAATAAGTTCTATATTGCAAAATCAGTTGAGTTCCGATCACTTGATTTCATACTCAACCTATATGGTGCTCTGTTCAAGTTACACCTACATACAGTTCTGGTCGCTGTGACATAAGAAGGCTGCGAAGGCTGTAGAGCTTGAACCCCAGTGTTAGGAGAATATTTCTCCACGCACAGAGTAATTAGAATATGGAATGCCTTGTCGGGAGCAGTGGTTGAGGTAGAATCCATACCAGCCTTCAAGAGGGAACTAGACAAATACCTTAAAAATGAGTCAGCTACAGGGGGGTGGGGAAAGAGTAGGAATTGGAATTGAATGAATTGCTCTTGAGAGAGCCAGCCCAGAGACACTGAGTCAAATGGCCTGCTTCTGTACCATACATTTCTATGGTTTGATTTCTATGTTAGAGAAATGAAATATGAGCAATGATTAACTGATTAGATAAGCTGGGGTTCTTCAGTCTTAAAAGGACATATTTCAGAAAGGATTTTATAGAGGAGTATAAAATTAAACGGGATTGAAAAAGTAGACCCAGAACAATACCCAGAACAATCTCTCCCTCAATCCATTTGCCTTGCCCATTCCCTCCCCACTTTCAAATCCTGCCTAGACAACAACAACAACAACAACAACAAGATTCCATTTATAGAGCACCTTTCACGTCGGGAGGACGTCCCAAGGCGCTGGACAGTTGGGTCAGAACCCGAGCAGGGGGGAAATGGTCAGAGTGAGGGGAGTGAAGGGAGGGAGTGAGGAGGGGGTAGAGAGTCAAGAGGGGAGCTGAAGGCACGGTCAAAGAGAAAGGTCTTGAGACCGGCCTTGAAGGAGGAAATAGAGGAAGCGGCGAAGGCACTGGAGGATGGATTTCCAGAGCCTAGGGGCTGAGATGCTGAAGGCCCAGCCACCGATGGTAGGGCGGTTGGGGTGGGGGATGTGGAGCAGACCGTAGCCAGAGGAACGGAGGGTACGGGCAATAAATAGGGGGATAGTAGGTCGGAGAGGTAGGAGGGAGCGAGGCCGTGAATAGCCTTGTAGGTGAGGATGAGGATCTTGAATTGGATCCTCTGGGGGAAGGGGAGCCAGTGGAGGCGAGCGAAGGTGGGAGTGATGTGGTCACGAAGCCTGGTGCGGGACAGTACACGAGCTGCAGAGTTCTGAATGACCTGCAGCTTGTGGAGGGAGGTGCCGGGAAGGCCGGCGATGAGAGAGTTCCCATAGTCCAGCCTTGAGGTGATAAAGACGTGGACCAGAGTTTCAGCCACGTGAGGGGTGAGGTAGTGCCGTAGTCTGGCGATGTTTCGGATGTGATGGAAGGCGGTGCCCAGTTGTGGCGCGGATATGAGGAAGAAAGGACAGCTCAGGGTTGAACAGAACACTGAGGTTCCTGACTGGCTTTGAGAGGTGGAGAGTGCAGCCTTGGATGCTGATGCTGTCAGCGCCTGAGGTGTGGAGGCGCTGACGTGAGTCAATCAGGAGGGCCTGATTTGCGCACGTTGAGCTGAAGAAAGTTATCTCTCGTCCAGGACTCAATGTCGGACAGGCAGCTGTCAGGACATCGGTGGTTGTGGAGTTGAGGGTAGAGGAGGAAAGGTAGAGTTGGGTGTCATCCGCATACATGTGGAAGTTAACCCCATGTCTGCGGATATCACCAAGTGGGAGCATATGGGTGAAGAGGAGGGGACCGAGGACAGAGCCCTGAGGGACACCACACGAGACAGTGCGGGGGCTGGAGGAAAAGCCATTTGTGGAAACATAATGAAGACAGTGGGAGAGGTACGACCTAAACCACTCAAGGACAGTGCCTTGAAGGTTGAGGTGGGAGGACAAGCGGTGGAGGAGGATAGCGTGGTTGACCGTATCGAATGCGGCCGATAGGTCGAGGAGGACGAGGAGGCAGAGGGAGCCCTGGTCGCAGATGGTCAAGATGTCATTGGTGACCTTGACCAGGGCGGTTTCTGTGCTATGGGCAGCACGGAAACCCGACTGAAGGGGTTCGAATAATGCATGGGTGGAGAGGAAAGAGCGCAGCTGGGAGGCGACAACTCTTTCAAGGACCTTGAAAAAGACCTTCCTTTATGATTGTGCTTAAGGTCACCTCCCCGTTCCCTCTCCTCCTGGCTCGCTGTCAAGAGTCAGCCATTGTCAAGCACTCTGGGACACTAATCTGCATGAAGGGTGCTATATAAATGCAAGTTGTTTGTTGCTGTTGTCGTACTTTAAGATGCACTAGTCCGAAAAAAAAAGAGGACACGTGTTTAGAGGTGCAAAGGGCAATTTCAGGACAGGATGGATTTTTTTTATTACCCGGAGGGTAATTAATGAATAGAACAGGTTGCCAGGAAGGGTGGTTGAGGCCAGGACACTGGACACATTAAAAAAAAAGTTTTAGGCTATGATGGGGATACAGTAGAGTGGGCATTCTGGAAGGATGAGATCCAAAAGGGCCGAAGGGCCTTCTTTATCCAAATCAATCTTGTGATCGTGCGCTGTTGCAAACCTAACACATTTTGAGTCAATTGATTTCAGAAGCCATTGGAATGCAAAAACCTCACTGAAGCTGTGAGTAACAGTTGGACTCTGTTAGACTCTGGTGCCATCTACTGGGAGTCCACATGTATCACAACCCATATTTGACCCATCGCTCTTGGGAGTAGAGCATCTACCAGCAACTCTGAACTGAGACTCCTTTGGTTGCAGCGCGTCTCTATTAGTCAAATCTGCTTAAAAACCCTCATCATTAGCTTGTAATAAATTACAAATAGCCTTTGCTTGGCTGTATCGATTAAATCCACCAGACTAGGAATACTTGCACCTTGGACCACGTTGGACTATAAACGGACACCAACATGGGGAAAAGTACAGTATCTCAGGTGCTCGATCCCCACTGATCTTGAGCACGAGTCTGCAGTGTACCATCCTATAGGTTTTTCATCTAATCATTTTCCTCCCTGTCATACATTGGGTTACAGTTCCATGAGCACTCACTCCTCCGGTAACCTTACCCCCAAATAACCATGTCTCATTTGTGAGCCAAGCCAGGGTTTCAACCGTGGAGGGGCATAACAGTCAAACTTAAATGCAAGGATTATTATGTTCAACAACAACGTCAGGAGGAGGTCCCAAGGAGCTGGAACACCTGGTCGATGTTCACAGATACACTTTCTGGTAGTGACTGAGCAACATACGAGGACTAAGTTTGCAAAAACGGCCCAGTCCTTGCATCTTAGTCCGTGAAGCTCCAGACTCGACACCAAACACTTAAGTTTGAATCCCATTCTATCCACTTCGTCCTTTAATGTTTAAGTCAATAAAATATACATTCTCTCCCTCCACACTGGAGCCTCAACCTCTTCCTCTGGAGCCCCACCCTCAGAAGCCCCTCCCATACTAGAGCCCCTCCCCTTACATTAGAGCCCCTCCCCTTACACCAGAGCCCCTCCCCTTTACATTAGGCCTTTGCCACACTATCTACTCTCCTTACCCTAGGGTCCCGCCCACATTAAGTCAGTCTCCCACACTGGAGCCCCGCCCCTTGCACCAGAGCCCCTCCCCTCACACCAGAGCCCCTCCTTTACACTGGAATCCTCCCCTATTCGGCCCCTCCGCATGACACGCCCAATACCAGACCCCGCCCCCACCAGAGCCCCGCCCCTCACAGTAAACCCGGCCCTCATGCAAATCACAGCCCTCCACTAAGCCCCGCCCCCGCCCCATGCCCCGCCCCTCAGTTTGCCAAACACCGGAAGCACTACCAGGGAGAGGCGGAAGTGAAGCGGCGGCGGGGACAGCAGCTCCCGGGGCTGAGTTTGTGTCTGTGTGTGTCCCGAAGACGCGGCTGAACCATGGCGGCCCCCAGCGCCCTGAACCTCAAGCAGCCGCCAATCCAGTCCACGGCCGGCGCCGTGCCCGTGCTCAATGAGAAAGGTAACCCCGGGGGGGGGGGCGGTGCGAGCAGCGCTGGGACCAGGACTGTAACTGACCACAGGCCCCGGCCTCAGGCCCCGCCTGATCTGGGCACAGCTTCTGGGTTAAGGCGGGGATTATGATGGTCCCCGGGCCCTGGATTGGGGCTGTGGGTCGGGAAGGGGATCAGGCGGCTCCTGATCACTGTCTATAATAATCCCCTCTATGGGTATTTGTGGGGGTGGGGTGTGGGTGAGGGTGGACTGGAGAGTGACAGCACCATGAGGTGGGAGGACAAGCGGTGCCACCCCCCCCCCCCCACCGGTCAGCCGGTCACGCTCTGGTCTCTGGGTCAGCACATTGTGGGCCCCAACCTCATGTAATCCGTGGGGTCTTTGAGCTCACAGCGCAACAACAACAACAACAACAAGATTCCATTTATAAAGCGCCTTTCACGTCAGGAGGACGTCCCAAGGCGCTGTCTTGCAGTCCGCGCTATAGCAGTCCGCGCTGATGTTTCAGTGCGGTGCCGGGGCAGCGCTGCGTTATCAAAGATGCTGGGCTTCAGATGTGACATCAAACCAAGTTCCCTCCAGCCCGTTGAGGTGGATATTAAAGATCCTGTGCCACTGTCGGAAAAGGTAACCGTTTCTCACGGCTAAAAAAAAATAATCCTCCTCTTCTAAACTACCATCCCATCACACGTTTGCTGTTTTTTGTAGACTGCGTGCCGCATTTGGCCATTTAACAGAGGTCGCTACACTTCAAATTAACTCACTTTGTGAAGTTTTTCAATGTGACGAGGCATCGTATGAAGTGTGAGCTGAAAAGTACGGTGTATAATGAAGTCAGTTTTGAGGTGAAAGCGGAAAGTTCAGTGTATAAAGTATCAGTTTTGTATAACAGTTCATAGATTACTGTGTGAATACTTCAGTGAAGAAGTTTTTTGTCTGTGTAATATCCAGCACATTTTATTTTCTTTCAAATGTGCTCTGCAGTTATTAGTACACGAAAATGTAAGGCTGATTGTGACATTCCTGCTGAATTTTCCAGGTGAGGTGTCTATGGAAAAGGTGAAGGTGAAGCGATATGTTTCCGGTAAAAGACCTGATTATGCTCCTATGGAGTCCTCGGATGAGGAGGAAGAGGATTTCCAGTTTGTTAAGAAAGCAAAAGAGCCTGATGCAGAACCTGAGGTGAAGGAGGAGGTTACAAACGATCCACGTTTAAAACGTTTACAAAACAGACTCACAGAGGATGTTGAAGAAAGGTGAGACATTCTAAGAAAACACTGGATCTCCCCAATGCATGACAATGGTGAAACGTCAAGTAGTTTATTTTGGGGCTTTTTATTCAAAAGAAATTAAGCTCACTGACAACTACTGAAATGGAATGAAACATTTAGTTTACTGAACTAAATGCTTCCTTGACCAACTTATATCACTATATTCTGGAATAATGGCGTTATTAAGGTTGAATCATTCAGTATCAGCCTTGGTCAGTTGGTTGCAGTCTCACCTTTGGGTCAGAAGTTATGGGTTCAGCCCCATTATCAGACTTTTAGGAGGAGCACTGGAGATGTCATCCTTGGGTGAGATATTAAATTGAGGTCTTGACAGGTTGTTCAGGGGATCTTTAAAGATCTCATTAAATATTTGAAAAGAGAAGGGAGTTTCTCCCTATGTCCTAGCCAACGATCCTCTTAGGTAAACTGGTCATTGCTCTTAGGACACTGCATGAAATGGAAGCTGCATTTGCCTTCAAATACACGGTCACTTAACTTTACAACAAATACCCATGAAATGTTTTGAGATATTTCAATATTCTAGTTGTTATAGCAAATGCAATTATTATTATTAATAATGATCTTGGCATAAAGGGGATTTTCAGATAAAAATCTGAAAATTCCACATAAAAATCTGGACATTGCATGGAACACCCCAATGTTCTGAAATTAGTGGAAGCAGAAAAGAACAAACTATATTCTGTAACTTTTTATACTGGTACAAATTGTTCAATAACTCAGAACTTTTTGGAACTGTCATTAATAAACATTCACAGACACAATGCCAGAGTCCATTAGAATTTAAAAAAAAGGAATAGGTAATGTGAGTGTTCACAATAGCTTGTATTATGCGGGTCAATGTAATAGATGAACGCATTTAACAACTGCTTCATTTTTAAATAACCTTGATTGAGAGCATTGCTTTAAATGCTGCCCTCGCCTCCTTTGCCTCTTAATTGATTTTGTAGCAATTCCCTTGATTATTAGTGAAGGGCCAAGGGGTTGCTACATTAATATACTGTGCACCATTTATAGATCCCTTACTCGTAAATTATGCACACCACAGCATGGGTCCAAAACACTGTAATATCCCAACAAAACGTATTAAGGTTATTCAAACCAGTTTTTGGAAGACTGCTCCAGAACTTTTAATACCTAATTTTCTTTCGTTTCTAAGTGTTGCTGACTAAAATTGATTTGATTGACTGTATATTTCCTCTGGGCAAAAGTTTTGAGGAATTACTGTTAGTAATTCTGAGTTGCTTTCACTGTGGTAAGATAATAATAATAATCCTTGCATTTGATATAGCGCTTTTCACGTCTTCTAGACATCTCAAAGCGCTTCACAGAATATGCTGTAAAGTGAATTGACTGAATCGAACCGGCAGCCAATTGTGCACAGCAGTGTCCCTCAAACAGTCGTGGATTGAAAATGACCAATTTATTATTTTTTTTTGTTTTTTGGAGGGATTATTATTAGGCATGTGGAGCAAGGAAACTTGCCCAAGGTTTCACCTTGATGCTATAAAAATGCAAGTTATTTTGTTGTGGAGAATGTTGACTAATGGCTCCATGTGTTCCTGCAGGCTGGCCAGACACCGGATGATCATGGAACCAGAGATTGTAATGGAGGCTGAGTCTGATGATGAGGGAGAGGCGTGGCACGTGGATCGGGAGGACACCAGTGAAGAGGAGGAAGAGGAAGTGGACGATGAGGTCTGTACAAGCGCCAACAGCAGATGTAAAGTAGTGATAGCCAATATCTTTGGTGAAACCAAATTGCAATTTTGCTGAATTCACAATAGAATAATCCATGAAGCATTTCACTTCCCAAGAGAAAATTTCAATTTTAGTTCTTTCATATACACCATAGGTTAGAAGATCAGCCATGATCTTATTGAATGGTGGGGCAGCCTCGAGGGGCCGAATGGCCTACTCCTGCTGCTATGTCTTATAAATCGACCTGATAGAAAGTTTATAACAGAAGAAGTCGCCATTTGCTTTAACGTGATATGTTGTTTTCTCCCCTATTGCAACAGAGCTATTTGCTCTAACCTATTTGATCTGCCAAGTAAGGTTGTAGATGCATTGTGTAATTTCAAGGAGGAAATAGACGGGTATATTAAAGTTAGAGCTTGTCAGGGTAATGGAATAGGATAGGACAATGGAATTGAAAGATCAGCTTGCTTTGAGATCTGGTGCAGAGCAGAATGGCCTCCTGTGCTGTAAATTTCTAGCATCCTATGTTTCTCTCCAGGAAATTGAGCGGCGGCGTGCTATGATGCGGCAAAGAGCGCAGGAGAGGGAGAACGAGGATTTGGAATTGCTGGAATTGGAAGATGAAGGAAGATCAGGAGAGGAGTCAGAGGAGGAGTCTGAGTATGAAGAATATACAGACAGCGAGGATGAAACTGAGCCCAGGCTGAAACCAGTCTTCATCAGGAAGTATGATTCATTCATAAATCTGGATAAGCCCCAGATTTCTTTTTGGGAATGATTTATAGAATATTTTGATTTGAAATACTGTGTCCTTTTAAATTGGTAATAGCCAATACCTGTCAGTATAGTAGTTTAGGTTCTCCTTGTGCAGAGTTCAAGCCGTAAATGATTCTGTGACTAAAATGGGCCTTTTTGCCAGGAAGGACCGTGTTACTGTGCAGGAACGTGAGGCTGAGGCCATTAAACATAAAGAGCTGGACCAGGAAAACAAACGGTTGACTGAGGAGAGGCGGAAATACACATTGAAGGTACAAGCTGTGGTTGTATGTTACCTAATTTTGGATGTGTGTTGGGGGTAGGGGGTTTTCATTAAAACCCACAAAGCACTTCATCATCTCCTCCCAGTAGCAGTCTAATTTGTCCAACTCTCCTGAGCAGATTGGACTTTTGAAAGATTAAGAACTTTATCACTTGTGCTTATATTATTTTCACAGACCCTCAATCGTGATTGGCTCTTTACTTCATTGATGCAGAGTTGGTGCTTTGGTATAGTTTAGTTAGTATATGCTGAGTTTACCCACTGATGATAGTGAAGTTTGGGGGGCAAATGGGGAATGAAACCAAGGGAACTTGGTGTTATACTATGACTCATGATTGATGCCAACACATCAAATTTATTGCAAACAGTAGCTGTACTAATGGATGTGCCTGGCTTTTGTAGATTGTGGAAGAGGAAGCCAGGCGGGAGATTGAGGAGTCTCGGAGAACGCTTGCTGCTCTCGATGCCCTGAACACAGACGATGAAAACGATGAAGAGGAGTACGAGGCATGGAAAGTGCGGGAGCTGAAGCGAATCAAACGGGACAGAGAGGAGAGAGAATTGTAAGTTTTCTTGTCAGCTGTGTGTTCGATTTGTGCTGGATTCAGTTCCATAGTGGCCAGGTATCTTTGGGTATGTTGGGGGGGGCGTCACAAAATAAAGATCACTTTCTCTTCCTGGCCCAGGTACTTGAACCCCATCGTAGCCCCACTATTGCAGAACAATACTAGTAAGAAATGTAGGTAACCCTCTGGTGTATTTTAATGATTTATTGGTTATTGGGCTGTATCCATGATACTGTCGTCACAGCTCGTTTGGGGTTAAATCATTTTCTGTTGATTTTACGGTGAGGCAGTGGGAACAGTGCAGTTGATGGGACAGGAGAAGAGCAGCTGCACAGTTCTGAAATGCCTTTGGTTCTCATTTGCAGAATGGAAAAAGAAAAGTCTGAGATTGAACGGATGCACAATCTGACCGAGGAGGAACGGCGAGCAGAGCTACGTGCCAACAACAAAGCCATCACTAACAAAGCCAGCAAAGGCAAATACAAGTTCCTACAGAAATATTACCACAGGGGCGCCTTCTTCATGGTGAGTAGCAACTGTGTTCAGCCATTATTTGAAACACTGGGGTTCCCAATGACTTGGCGGGAAAATGTAACACAGACCGAGTAATGGGATACCTCCTAGGCAGGACAGTGGTCTGTCTGTGTTGAAATTCACACGAAATAAAATTACTTTTATATAAAATTACAAGCAGGCACCCATAAAAACAATCTATTTTAATGGTGAAATGCTTTTTTTTGGTTTAGCAACCTTCACTGAGTCCACTTTCAAAAGTGTCCTTAAAGTTTAGGTTGAATCTTTTTGTAATGTGTGAAACTGACTGAACTCTTATACGGTCTATTGCAGGATGAAGAGGAGGAGCTATACAAACGGGACTTCAGTTCTCCAACCCTGGAAGATCACTTCAACAAGACCATCCTGCCTAAAGTCATGCAGGTACAGTATACCTGGTCAGAGAGGCTGGGTGGCCATCCTGTAGCCAGTTCTGGTACAGCCAAAACCATACAAAAGAATTCCTTGTCATCTGCCACCCATTTGCCAGTTTTTCTTAAACAGCAATCCAGAATTCACCAGAATTTTTACGATTTATGATCTCACTGCAAATCCAACTTTTTCTCAGTTTATCAATTGGATTATTCTACAAAAAATAAATAAATTCAGATTATTGCAAATTAGAACTGCATTCAAGTGTAATAGCCATGAGATTTTTAAGTGTAATAGCAATGATGGGAATACTCAGCAGCATCACTGGGGGATATTGGATAGATCAGTGTTAGATCCTGGTGAGCCTCTGGACCATTGCTGGGATCCCACCTGCTAATATTACAAGCATTAAACATACCCTACTGTTGCCTGTGGGATAATTACATCTCTGCAGGTGATGAGATTATTCTGTATAGAACATATCTGACATTGAAAATGTATAATAGTAAAAATTCTTAAAGTGCATCATAAACAGTGAGCAAATCAATCCTACATCTTAGACCATTGTTGTAAAAAAAATTGTTTCAAGTAAATCTGACATCTTTCTTAAAGGTAAAAAACTTTGGCCGCTCAGGCCGAACCAAGTACACTCACCTCGTCGACCAGGATACAACCTCCTTTGACTCAGCCTGGGCCCAGGAAACCGCTCAGAACACCAAGTTCTTCAAGCACCGGGCAGCAGGAGTGCGAGATGTCTTTCAGAGGCCTTCAGCCAAGAAGAGGAAAATCTCATAAAGGAGCACGTCCACGGAACTCCAGCCGAGCAGACTGCATCACACAGAAGCTCTGGCCCTCTGCTGTTGTAAACTTTTTCACAATTACTTTGTTGCACATGGAATTTCTTAAGTTTATCAAACTTATATGGACATTTTGTAAAAAAAATATAAAATGTCTTATTCTGTATGTAAGTGTATTTTTTAAAAAAATTTAGGGTTTACAAATTTGTAATCATGTAGATGATTCTATTTGTTTTCTACGTTAGATACAGGTTATAGGTAGTCAGGACCAAGTCTGATTTTATAAGATTACCAGTAAAACTTATGAGGGGTATTCATTCTGTCATTCTGTGGAAGTTACAGCAAATGCAGTAGGAAAAGAAAACAGGATTAGAATCTCTCCCTACACAGTGAGGATTAATTTACACTCTTTGTTGCTCAGGACAAGTTTATAATTTAACCTCACCCCATATATACGATGAACTATTACCCCTAATAAACAAGTTGTACAAATTTTCAATGCCCTTATTTATAGGCTTGTGTTCTGAAATCACCTCACCCTTGCCTCCTTCAAGACCCTCCTCTTTGACCCTGCTTTCAATCACTCTCCTTCTCCCACCTGCCCTCCACTCCTCCCAATCTGGACCCCAGCTCGGGTCCAAAACACTGTCTAGCACCTTGGGACATCCTCCCGATGTGAAAGGCAATATACAAATGTAATTCTGTTGTTGAAATTCATTTTGAGGTGCGGACTGCTTTTCAAATAAGCCAGGTTGAAGGGTTTATTTCTATTTAGTTTCATCCTTTGGATCAAACTAAATAAGGTCCCATCTGCCTGTTCAGGTGGATGTTAAAAGATCCCATGGAACTATTCAAAAAGAGAATGGAGTTTCTCTCTCTCTGTGTCCTGGCCAACAATCCCCCTAATAAAATTGGTCATTCACTCCACAGCTGTTTGTGGGACATTGCTGCACGCAATGATGCCACATTTGCCAACAAATATAGTCACTCCACTTTACAGTAAATCCTGTGAAGCACTGTGAGACAACCTTCTGATATGATGAGGAGCTGTACCAAATACAAGTATTATTACTATTTTTATCTTTGCAGTTACTTCCAGTTTAAATAATTAAAGGAATGAGCCACACTAAAGACAGTCAATTTCTTTTAAATAATCAATAGAAACCTCTACCGTCCAACACAAAAATGCTGATAAGCAATTAATTTCATTTCACACTTTGTCTCGTGTTATACTGAAGGCCAACAGCCAGTAAGAATGCTTTCAGCTTTATCTGAATTACATTAACGTTGCAGTAGAGCATTTCAAGGTTTATAACACAATAGATAAGATAAATCTCCATTGTAATAATCTGATGTAAATACACAAAATCAAGTCTTTATGCTTTATTAGGTTTCTCTTGGAATACTCAAACCTTTCTCCATTTGAAAGGTTAATTTAGTCTTCGGGAAACAGTTGTGAACCAGGTTAGAAACAAGCCCCATTAAAACCAACTCTTCAAGCACGCCAAGCATACTGCATAAACGTGTCCTGAAAAATTCTATGTCATCAATTGTGCCAGACTCTGGGTTCACACGTGACTTCTTTCCTGTTCAGTCTTGGAAACATTTTCAGGCATTCTGTGGCTCTGTTTCAATTTGTGAGAGCAACCAATGCTTCGACAACATTCCCCAAGTGCTCCCGAAGACTGCGTTCTGCTGCCGTCCGCGAGATCTCCATCTCATTCATCTGCAAGGAAAGTAGTTTGTTAATGGTCAGTTAAAGGCACGATCAGTTTCAAAGTACTGATTCATACAATCCCAAGCACGACTTACAATCAGTTCAACATCTTCCTTCTTGATGGTTACTTTAGCCAATTCCTTTTCTCTGGATTTGTAAAAAGAAAAAAATCATTAACAAGTTAGGTGAGTAGATCTTGTAGGTAGCACACAGTCTATTAAACCCTGGTATCTACCTTTTAATTGAAAGTCCCCTTTTTTCTGTAAGCAGGAAGAGCAATGTGAAATGAGGTTTGGTAGTCTCAACCCAACTACTTGTACATCTGACACCCAAGACACCAAACAGCATAGAATAATGCCTAAGCCACTTTTATACTGTGGATCCGATTACACAGACTGCAACACCAAAGCAGAGACACCGACAGTCTGGCACAGCTTTGTTTTCTGCAGAAAGCTTGCAGCAATGTCCTGTAGGTGGGCATGCCCTTGGAGAATGATGCCAGGAAATTCAAATGCTTGCCGGGGGGGGGGGGGGGGGAAAGTACTTATGTCTGGAGGCAAAACCAATTTTTCTATTTAGAGACTAGAGCATTTTCTTTAATGTTATTTCACTCTAGTTGCGATGCATTTTGAACTGAATATGATCTATATTAAGTATGCTAATGTGCATATAATCTCAACATTTTTATAGTAGTGCCTCATAACGTTATATGTTTTCACAAACAAGTATTGTCAAGTGTGGTTACTGCACATTTGTAGGCAAACAGCAGTACATTATGCGCAGCAAGATACTATAATGAATGACCAATTTATCTGAAGAACTGTTGATCAGGAAACTGGCCAACAATTTTCCTTGAAAAAGTTATGGGGTTTTTAACATCCACTGGAACAGGCAGAAAGTACCTGAGGTTTCTAACTTTTATTTTGAAAACAATCTTTTCACAGGACTTTGGATAAGAGGGTATGAAGCACAAATGATAAAAAAATATAACTAGTTCACAAGGAAATAAATTGGAATTCTATAGCACCTTATGTCAAGTCAAAGCATTTTACAGTAATTGTCAAATATAATTTTTTGTAAGGAGACCGTTGCCATTTTGCACACAGCAAGCTCTCATTAATTGATTACAACACGAAACAAAAACCTTTTCCATCAGAAGTTATATTATTAGAGCCAGCTTTTTTCTCTGCCTTTTTAATCTTTCCATTTCTTGGTCTGACTTTTTCTCTCTTTTGCCCCATCAATAACTTTCTGTTTCAATCTTTATTGTATCTCTAATTCTCTTATCTTCCTCTAATTCTGACTTTCTCTGTCTCTAAGCCTTACACAAATTAGTTATTCCTGCTGTGTGCTGCTGCGTTTCACCCCCCAAAAAAATAATCAATTCACTTCACAGTATATTCTGTGAAGCGTTTTAAGACATCTCAAAGACATGATAAGGCTCTTCATGAAATGCAAGGATTATTTGTTATTCTATGTGCTTGAAACTTTTCTTGAGAGGAAAATAAACTTATTCTTGGAAGCCCTACTAGCGCAAACGCCCGTATTGTGGAGTCCTGTAGCTCAGTGGTTAGAGCACTCGCTTTGCAAGTGAGAGACCTGAGTTCAATTCCAGGCAGGGGGCAACCTTGGGCAAGTTTCCTTACTCCACACACCTAATAATAATCCCTCCAAAACCAAAAAAAAAACAATAATTGGTCATTTTCAATCTACGACTGTTTGTGGGACATTGCTGTGCGCAATTGGCTGCCGCGTTTGCCCACAAATATACAGTCAATTCACTTTACAGTATATTCTGTGAAGCGCTTTGGGACGTCCTCCCGACGTGAAAAGCGCTATATCAAATGCAAGGATTATTATTATTATTATTGTTTTCACCAGCAAAGCACTTCTCCGTGCCCAATGCGAGTAAGCAGACGTGCAGACCATTGACATACGAATATGTGACATTCTACATTACAAACGCAACCTGCATCGAGGAGCTGACCTGTGGAATTTGCTCCAGAACAAGGAAACGTTCAGGCAACTAATCGAGACCGTGAGCTCGGGTTTGGAAGCGGGGCTTGAATTCACAACCTTACACCCCCAGAGGGCTACCAACTGGGCCAAACCGATACCTTGTTGTAATAATAAGACGTCTCTCTCAAAGCGCTTCACAGAATATGCCGTAAAGCAAACTGACTGTATATTTTGTGGGCAAAACCTCTATTATGATAAAGTATTGATGGTGACTTTAATGATGGTGATGGGGTGGGGGGGAAATCAGACCTTTCTTGTTTGGCTTTCTGTTCCCTGGAGCGTCGGTCCCCAATAACGGACATGGCCTAGAAACAAGAGAACATGATGAACAAACACAAGAAGCTGAAGGATCTCTGGTCTGGTCCTGTCCTGGGCTGGTCCTGTCCTGGTCTGGTCCTGTCCTGTCCTGGTCCTGTCCTGGTCCTGGTCTGGTCCTGGGCTGGTCCTGTCCTGGTCCTGTCCTGTCCTGTCCTGTCCTGTCCTGGTCTGGTCCTGTCCCTGTCCTGGTCTGGTCCTGTCCCTGTCCTGGTCTGGTCCTGTCCCTGTCCTGGTCCCGGGCTGGTCCCGGGCTGGGAGTCGGCAGCGCGGCCTGTGCTGGGCCCTGTCGTCTCCTCTCACCGTCTCCAGGTCCGAGCTCAGGATCTCCTTCTCCTCCGCATAGTCGGTCACCCTCTCCAGATCAGCGGCGCCGCTGTCGTGTTTCCGCGGCTTCTCCGCCGGCCGCTCGGTACAATTCTCCTCGTTGTCCAACTCCAGCTCCACGTCTCCCTCCGCCATTGCTGCTCGCGCCGGTCAGAACAGACCACGTGGTGGTGGTGCCGCCGCCCGGACCTTAATCACTGCTGCACCAGGGCGGCCTTTCACCCCCTCCCCTCCACCCACGGGCTGCTGGTGCAGCGCAGTAAAGGGTCCCCTCGTGTGTATTGTGTTTTCTTTGCTGAGTTATTCATTTGCATCGCTTTTTACTGATTGGTTGGTTGGTTGGTTGATTGGTTGGTTGACTGACTGACTGACTGACTGGTTGGTTGGTTGGTTGGTTGATTGATTGATTGATTGATTGGTTGGTTGATTGATTGGTTGGTTGGTTGGTTGGTTGATTGGTTGGTTGGTTGTTGGTTGGTTGGTTGGTTGGTTGGTTGACTGACTGACTGGTTGGTTGATTGATTGATTGGTTGATTGATTGGTTGATTGGTTGGTTGACTGACTGGTTGGTTGGTTGATTGATTGATTGGTTGGTTGGTTGGTTGATTGATCGGTTGATTGACTGACTGACTGGTTGGTTGGTTGGTTGGTTGATCGATTGGTTGACCGATCGATTGATCGATTGATAAATAAATACTACTCCTTGGATTGGACGTCGAAGTTGCAAGAATTTTCACAGAGATGCGACCTGATCTCGAGCGTAGTGACAGAAGCGGTGGTTGAGGCAGAATTTTATATTAGCCTTCCAGAGAGATCCGATCATAATAATGATATTATTATTTGGGATCTACACAAATACCTTAAAAAGAGGAGTTAGCCACAAGGCTCTGGGGAAAGGGCAGGAAAACGGGACTGAAAGGATTGCTCTTCAGCAGGGAGCCAGCACAGAGCACAGACACCGTGAACCAAATGGGCTTTTTTTTTTGAGCCACAAATCTCTATGGCTGTCATGACTGTATATTTAGCAAAACCACAGCATTCGATGAGCATTGCGAGTCTCACAAACCATCACAAAGTCAAGGATCAATTTATTGTGGCCAAGGTTATGGGAGAAACTCTTTTCATTTTTACCGATAGGATTGCAGGATCTCTGGCATCCATTGGAGCAAGCAGACAAAAAACCTTGGGTTAACAGCTCATTCGAAGCACGCCCGGTGCATCTGATAATGCATCACTACTCCTGCACTACAATGGAGTTTCAGCCGAGACTATGAGCTTAAAGTCTGGATATGTAGCTTAAGTCCACAACCATCTGCGCCAAAGCTAAGAGTACAACCAACTGAGCTAGGCTGACACTGCCCAGTTTTTACTGAGCCCTTACTCTCTTGTGTCAGCCTGGCTCAGTGGTAGCATCCTCGGCCTCTGAGTCAGAGAGTTGTGGGTTCAAACTCCTGTGTCAGGACTTGATATCACACAGTCTAAGCTGATGCTCCAATGCAGTGCCGGTGGGGGTCGCATTGTCAGGTGCTGTACGTTAGATGAGACATTAACCCAAGGTCTCATCTGTCTGTTCAGGTGGATGTTAAAGATCCTTGACAACTGAAAAATAATTATTGAGTGACATGCGGGGTTACCAACCCTCCAGTTTTGGATCTCTCAAAAATTATAGAATTGAAACTGGAAAAATCTGATTTTCTTTTAAACAAATCATTTTTACCCACTTACTTGTACCCTGTGAGGCATAACAACAACAACAAGATTATATTTGTATAGCGCCTTTCACGTCGGGAGCAACCCTACTGAGATGAAAGTTTATGAGGGGACAGGCAAAGCGCATCACATTCTTGTTTTTTTATCCTTGCACAAGGCAAGGGATATAAAACAGCACTAAGAGTCCCTCCCACCCAACACTGCTAGGTACAGTGTGCATTATATATAGTATAAAGTTCCCATGACACTGTCACAACAACTTAGTCCAAAGTTCAGTAGAGCAACCTGTACAGCAAACTTTCCATGTTACACAACTGCTGTCCGGTGGCCCCTCTGAGAGAGACAGACAATTTAGTGCCATAGAGGAGTATAGAAGGGGAATATGAATGATTGGGTTGAACCACTTACTTCCATGTATTCTTTGCATAAGTTTGTTATACTGGGAGTTATAGTTATATTTGTTATAGTGGGAGTTACAATCAGTAAATGCCCCAAACACATTTAACAAACAACCAGGCAGCAGAGGAGTCTTTCCTTCCATTCAGCGGGCTCCGGTCTGCTCCATGTCTCCCGCCCGACCCGCCCTACCATCGGTGACCGGGCTTTCAGTCTCCCTGCCCCCACACTCTGGAACTCCATCCCACAGTCCCTTCGCCTCGCTTCCTCCCTTGCTTCCTTCAAAGCCGGTCTCAAGAGCCTTCTCATCGATCGTGCCTTTGATCGCCCTCCCACCTCTCTGCCTTCCCTCACCCCTACACCACCCTCCCCCATGCTCGGGTTCCGACACCTAACTGTTCAGCACTTTGGGACGTCCTCCCGACATGAAAGGCGCTCTACAGATGTAATTTTGTTGTTGTTGTTGTTGCCCATCTCATCTAGACTTATACCAGGGTCTTAGATTCAAAAGCTCAATATCTAACTCAATCCCCCATACAGTTCCCCTAATTTTTATTTTTGGGTATATTTGGAACTTTGGACAACTGGATGTAAACCAAAAATGAAAAGAAAAACTTACAGTTTGCAAGTAAATGAATGCAGTAACCTTGCATTTTGATAGGACTTTATACATCAAAAACCTCTAAATGTAAGGTTCACACTAATTATTGTCAAGTGACTGAACTTACAAGGAAATGCAAAAGACATTTTTTACCAACCGTCTGGAGGATTGTTGACCTGGACACTGGAAGAAATGACCTTATCTTTTCAAATAGTTTCATGGGCCTTTTCAGGGTCACTTGAAGGTAGGCAGATGAGTCCTTGGTTTAAAATCCCATCCAAAGGATGGCACCTCTGCCAGGGTAACACTGTCCCAAGTTAACTGAACTCAACTTGCGGCTATAAGTTACAGTCGTCTATCCCAGAATTGACAGCATTACCAACTGAGCCAGGCTGACACCTAAGTAAGGTGCAACTAGCAAAGCTACTTGATACGGTAAAGACAAGAGCGGTACTGGCTACATCTAGTGAAGTCTTATCTTCTGAAGTTCTTTTCAGATCAGTGCTGTTAACAAGTGTCAAAGAAGGGAGTGCACTGGAGGATTGGGAAATGGCCTTGCTCCGCAGCCTATTTTTATCCCTTAAGAGGTTTACAGTATCTTAAAGGATTTTCGGATAATCATTGTTTGTTGCGTGCTATGAACAGTTTGAGATTCCAACGAAAGATCAGGAGGAAGGTTTCACTACTCCCGGGAGTCAAACTTGTCAGCCAGCGAGCCTTGTTTGAGGAGTGCCTGGAGCCTTGACGAATAAGACAATTGGGATTTCTGGGGAGTACCTTATGCTTTGGGATGCTGAGACTGTTACACAAGCTTCGCTTTATTTTGGTCTACGCCTGAGCTGTGGGTGTCCGGCTCTCTGATCACCCTCTTCAGCCTGCTGTGGAGGGATGTGTGACCACTGCTGTCTAGCACAGGTGAGGACGTTGCTGAAAGGATCTTTCAGGTGGTGGGAAGTAGACCCATCCACTGCCTCTGCGTTCAGAAATACTTTCCGACGGTGGTAAAATGTTGCAAACCATAGGGGAGTTACTTTGCGTCGTAAAAATCCAGCATTGGGACCTGTGCCATCAACATCTGCCACACAGGAATGAAATAAATGAGTGACCCATCAAACTATAGTTCAGTGAATTTGGTTCAGGGAGAAACATTGCCCAGGACACTGGAAATAGCTCCTTGTGGCTTCTTCTCCCGAATATCATAATGAGACCTTTATTTGTTACTAATAATTGTTTTACCTCTCGTAGTTAAGGGCAGCACATTTGATTAACTTGTTCAGGCGAAAGGGCTGAATCTCACCTCTGGTGACAACCTATTGTTGAGAGGTTAAAGCATAGGCAAGAATCTCTCTCTGAAGGGAAACTTTGTGGGCCTGATCGTGAGCACGACACGTTTAAGATCACTAACCAACTTACAATGTTATCTCTGTTCCTCGGTTGTGTTTGATACCAGGAGCAGTACGCTTTGTACACAACCCATTCGAGTACTGAATGTTCACTGGAATTGTTCTCGGCACCTCAGGAGGTGCCTCTCACCCAGTTAGGTGTTTTATCAGCTGTATACAAATTCATACTCACTCTGTGAGTGCTGAAACTATAGATCCCTCGTGCAATATTGTTTATTTTCACTGTGTGACGGGTAAATGGTGTCAGCTTGGCCCACTTGGTAGCAGTGTTGTCTCTGTGTCAGAATGTGATGGGTTCAAGCCCTACATCTAAACTGACTTGAGCTCACAATTTAGACTGACGCTCTAGTGCAGTACAAGAGAAGTGCTGCATTCTTGCAGGTGACATGGTTTCAACATTGTCATTTTAAACCAAGGTCCCGTACAGATGGATGTTAAAGATCCCGTGACATTATCTGTAAACAGAAGGGAACTGCTCCCGGTGTCCTGACCAAAAATCCTCCAGATTAATTGCTCATTCACTTTACAGCTATGTATAGTACCGAACGGTTTCTACAAACACAAAGTCGCTTTGTTGCCAATAATCACCTGTGAATCACTGAAACGTTTCAATAAACAAGGCACTATAACAATTCAACAACAACAACTTGCATTTATATAGAGCCCTTTACGTGAAGTAGTGTGTTGGAGCACTTAAAATTCAAGTTCGTTCTTTGCTACTCTGTGGCTCACTGGTATCACTATGAGAGTGTGGTCAATGATCATGTATCCAGGTGACTTGTGGTCAGCTTCTTGCTGCTACGGTGCTGTTGGGGAAGCAAAGAATCTTAACATTGGAACCGGTGGGACCAACCCTCTGCTCTCTTTTTGATGCCATTTGATGCTATGAGTGAGTAACAAGAGAGCACAAAAGAGATTATTGGAATGTAGAATTCTCTGCCACAAACCGTAGTTGAAGCAGACTCCATCAGTTCTTTTGAAAGAGAATCGGATGGTGCTGGGAAAGGAGGAACACTCAAGGGTATGAGCGAGTAGGAGAATGGGTGGCAAATGTGGAGGAAAACAGCTATGTAGACTTGGAGAGGTTGAATGTCCCGGTTCTGTGCAGTATTTCTCTTTGGTTCCCCTTCAAAATAATTAATGGACTAATTCATTAACACAGGGAAAGTTTTGTGAAATGGTGTTACAGCACCTGAGTAATAGTATCAGCCTGTGCAGCCCAGCACCAGATAGCCTGGTCTCTATAAAATGCATGGTATTTTTGTTGTTATCTCTATAAGCTTTCCGTAGAGTCTATGACACACAGTGAGAGCAAGGTTGCAATTGGATTATCACTAATCATCTTAAATGGCAGCCTGGTGCAACGTCGGACATGAATTAGCTGAAGCAGCATCTGCTACAGCCTGTGTGGATTCTCCGACCACCCTGTGTGTACCTGTGTGGACTCCCTCACCCCCATGTGTCCTTCTGGCTGTTCAGGTCAACGTTAAAGATCTTATGACATTATCGGAAAAGAGAAGGGAGTTTCTCCCTGAGTCTGGTAAATTGGTCAGAGGCCTACAGGTAAATTGATCATTCACATCTTGGCGGTTTGTGGGGACTTTGCTGAAGCTTTGTTTGCCTACAAAAAAAGTCACTATACTTAACAAAGTTCTTAGGTGGATAGATTTTTGTTAGTGATAGTATCAAGGGATATGGAGCAAAGGCGGGTAAATGGAGTTGTGGTAGAGATCAGCCATGATCTAATAGATTGAAGGAACAGGCTGGAAGGGCGGACTGGCCAGTTCCTTTTCCTATGTTTCCTTTTAACCCGGAGTCTCTCTGGTTTCTGTGCCAGGTCTCTTGCTGGTGTGGCCCAGCTCCTTGCTCCCTGTGCTGTTCCCTGTGTCCCAGCATCAAAGTGTCATCCGGAACCCGTCTCATGTACACACTCTACCACATTCTCACCTCCACCGTATGCTGCCTGATGCTGTCCAGGACAGCTGCTGAAGCGATCAAGGAAAGTGTAAGTGAACTTGGGTGCAGCGTGTCGTGTTCAGTGTTCCTCTTACAGTCACGTATTGAGCCATTCTCCTCCTGGTAGCATCCCAGTCAACAACAACAACAACAACAAGATTCCATTTATAGAGCGCCTTTCACGTCAGGAGGACGTCCCAAGGCGCTGCACAGTTGGGTCATGACCCGAGCAGGGGGGAAATGGTCAGGGTGAGGGGAGGGAAGGGAGGGAGAGAGGAGGGGGGAAATGGTCAGGGTGAGGGGAGGGAAGGGAGGGAGCGAGGAGGAGGAAGAGAGTCGAGAGGGGAGCTGAAGGCACGGTCAAAGAGAAAGGTTTTGAGACCGGCCTTGAAGGAGGAAAGGGAGGAAGCAAGGCGAAGGCACTGGGGGATGGAGTTCCAGAGCCTGGGGCTGAGAGGCTGAAGGCCCGACCACCGATAGTAGGGCGGTTGGGGCGGGGGACGTGGAGCAGACCGGAGCCAGAGGAACGGAGGGTACGGGCAGGTAGGTAGGGGGATAGTAGGTTGGAGAGGTAGGAGGGAGCAAGGCCGTGAATGGCCTTGTAGGTGAGGATGAGGATCTTGAAATCAATCCTCTGGGGGATGGGGAGCCAGTGGAGGCGAGCGAGGGTGGGAGTGATGTGGTCCCGAAGCCTGGTGCGGGACAGTACACGAGCTGCAGAGTTCTGAATGACCTGCAGCTTGTGGAGGGAGGTGGCGGGAAGGCCGGCGAGGAGAGAGTTCCCATAGTCCAGCCTTGAGGTGACAAAGGCGTGAACCAGGGTTTCAGCAGCGTGAGGGGTGAGGTAGTGCCGTAATCTGGCGATATTCCGGAGGTGATGGAAGGCGGTGCCAGTTGTGGTGCGGATGTGAGGGAGAAAGGACAGCTCAGGGTCGAACAAAACGCCGAGGTTCCTGACTGGCTTTGAGAGGTGGAGAGTGCAGCCTTGGATGCTGATGGTGTCAGCGCCTGAGGTGCGGAGGCGCTGACGTGAGCCAATCAGGAGGGCCTCGGTTTTTCGCACGTTGAGCTGAAGAAAGTTGTCTCTCGTCCAGGACTCGATGTCGGACAGGCAGGCTGTCAGGACATCGGTGGTCGTGGAGTTGAGAGTAGAGGAGGAAAGGTAGAGTTGGGTGTCATCCGCATACATGTGGAAGTTAACCCCATGTTTGCGGATGATGTCACCAAGGGGGAGCATATAGAGGGTGAAGAGGAGGGGACCGAGGACAGAGCCCTGAGGGACACCACATGAGACAGTACGGGGGGTGGAGGAGAAGCCATTCGTTGAGACGAAGTGAAGACGGTGGGAAAGGTAAGAGCTAAACCATTCAAGGACAGTGCCTTGAAGGTTGAGGTGGGAGGACAAGCGGTGGAGTAGGATAGCGTGGTCGACCGTATCGAATGCTGCCGATAGGTCGAGGAGGACGAGGAGACAGAGGGAGCCCTGGTCACAGATGGTCAGGATATCATTGGTGACCTTGACCAGGGCAGTTTCTGTGCTATGAGCAGCACGGAAACCTGACTGAAGGGGTTCAAAAAGAGAATGGGTGGAGAGGAAAGAGCGCAGTTGGGAGGCGACAACTCTTTCCAAGACCTTGGAGAGAAAGGGGAGGTTGGAGATGGGCCGGTAGCTTGATAGCTGCGACGCATCAAGGGAGGGTTTTTTCAGGGTGGGCGTGATGATGGCAGTTTTTAATGGAATGGGGACAGAGCCAGAGGAGAGGGACAGGTTTATGATGTCAGTGATGTGTGGGGCAAGAAAATGGAGCTGGGAGATAAGGAGTGGAGTGGGGATGGGGTCAAGGGAGCAGGTGGTTGGTTTTAGGGATAGGATGAGTTCAGTGACAGAGGGTGGGGAAACGGGTACGAAGGTGTGTAGGGGAGGATGGGTAGGAGTCGGAGTGTGGGAGGGAAGGGGTGGGTGGTGGGTGGAAGTTGGAGGGGAAGTGACCGCGGAGCGGATTCCCTTGATCTTGGATTCAAGGAAATCCAGCATCTCCTCGCAGTGAAGGTTGGAGGAGATGACCTGCGCGGGGTGGCGGGGGGACGGAGGAGTCGGGATGTGGTGGAAAACAGTAGCCTGGGGTTGTTCTTCGCCTCCAGGATTATCCTGGAGTAGAAGGACGACTTGGCCGAGGCTAGAGTGGAGCGGTAAATTTTGAGGAGGTCCAGCCAGATTTGTCGGTGGACCGTTAGGCCAGATTTGACAAAGGTGCGCTCAGCAGCCCGCACCTGGCATTTCAGTGAGCGGAGGTGGGTGGTGTACCAGAGGGAGGAGCGGGAGTAGGAGACAGTGCGGGAAGTGATGGGGGCAAGAGTAGCTGATGATGGGCAGCCCCTGACTTTGTGCAGAAATAATAATAATCCTTTCATTTGATATAGCGTCTTATTGAGATGTCTCATCATAAGCAACAGGAAAATAGCTCTATTGCTTGGTTACTATTATTCTAATAAAACTGGAATGTAATGAGATTCCAGATAACGTAGACTCTGAGCTAACACATGCCCAGCATGTGCAGATGAAGGATTGTCCAGGGTGTCCACAAAATCCTGTTACTCCCATGTTTTGTTTTCTGCAGTGCACTGGCAAACAATTGAAACACATGGAAGAATGATGATAATTGTATTTAGTGTTTAATAACTGTTTTTGGACATCCAGAGAATTGGTGTGTGTGTGTGTGTGTGTGTGTGAGCGCCTCATTTTCATGGTAGATAAGGATCCGTGTTCGTTGTGACATCTTCTGTAAGATGGATGGAGTAATGAAGCAAAATGCATCTCTGACAGCTTATTTCAGCTCCTCAATAGTCTCATGTCGCTGTTTTGTAACAGAGGGTTTTAGAGCACTTTGTGGGCACCCTGTAGAGTCAGTGCTCTTTCTCTCCAGGTGCCTTTCTACGGGATGATCTGTGATCACCTGCAGCCGGGCTCGGACTGCGACATGCTGATTGGTTACTCGGCCGTCTACAGGGTTTGCTTTGGGACCACCTGCTTCCACCTGCTTCTCTCCATCTTCCTCCTCAACGTCAAGTCCAGCCGCGATTCCCGCGCACTCATACACAATGGGTAAGTGATGGGGAGCTACCTACAGGGCAGGCTTTATTGTTTTGTTTGTCCTCTCTCTCTCACTCTCCCTCTCTCCTCTCCACAGTTTCTGGTTCCTGAAATTCCTAATCCTGGTTGGAATGGCGGCTGCTGCTTTCTTTATTCCAGGCGAATCCTTCCTGCACAGTGAGTGGGAAAAAGACAACTCAGGGATAAATGCATCACACAATCTGTAATTAAGACATGGAGACAAGGAGGTTTATCCCTGTCTCTGTTGAGTTACTGATCTCAGCCGAGGCAGGGCTAGTAATAGCCTCAGTGTATTACCTTTGTTAGGGAGGATGAAATCAGCCAGGGTTTCTGCTCCTGAGGTTTAAGATTCCTAGTCTTGACCTGTAATTTTGCCTTAAAATTTAAGGTGGCACATAGTTGTGAAAAATTTGGTAAATCTGTGAATTGGAAGTCAGTTCAACCTGCACGGTGTCTGATCTCTATACAGAGCCACCCCCCACCCCCAACCACCCCTCCCCCTGGCAGGTGTATGTTTGTGTAATAATTCATCCTCAAATTCGGTATAGCGCCCTTTACATCGAGAGGACATCCCAAAGCGCTTTACAGGATAAGGTGTAAAGTGCAATTATTAGATGTTGTTACACCAAGGTACTGTAATTTTAGCTCACAGCCACGAGATGGCAAGGAAGAGCCATGCATTGAACTTGACAATATTCTGAATAAAATTAAGGTGAAGTTTTAACAGTGATCCACTATAAAGTGGCAGTCAGTATTATTCTGGGTCCCAACATAAATCAGTTCAAACGAAAAAAATTTCAACTGGATATTAAATATATTCAGCGAAAGTATGTACTGTTGGTATGCACAAATTCATTCCAAGTCATCTGTCAAGTGCCTGATATCTGCACAGACAAATGACATAGACAAAAAACAACTTGGTGTTTATACAGCACTCTCCATGCGAGTTAGCATCTCAGAGGCTGCAAAGTTGGACACTGAGCAGGGTGGGAAGGTGGGAGTGAGTGTCCTTTGGCTCGGTCGAAGAGATAGATCTTAACATGGGATTTAAAGACGGATAAAGTGAGTCGAGGTGGAGGGATTGATGGAGGAAGTTCCAGAGGTTAGTAGCGTAGTGGCACAATGATGTTACCTGGTGCCACACTGAGCCCTACATGGAATTTCATTCCATGGCTTATGCTGTGTTAGTGATCTCAGTCGGGCCAGCAATCAGGGCTACATGTGGCCTGCTTAGGAATCTCCCCTGCTCTTGATCACTCTCCGGAGATCCTCCCTCCACCTGAGCTGGATGTAAGTGTGTGTGTGGATAGGTATGTGGGTGTATGTGTGGGTGTCAGATGAAGACAAGTATAGGCTCAGCTGTGATGCCCCTTCAATAAGGTAGCACTCAAAGCCTGTGCTCTCACCTGAAGATGGAATGTGATGGTGGGGGGGGGGGGGAGTTAGTCAGGGTGAGGCACCTGTGGGACTCTCCTACCAATGAGTCAGCACCTACAGGAGGGGAGAGAGCGCGTCCGAGGAAACAGCCAAAGCTCAGCCACAGTATCACTGCTCTGATCTTCCTTGAAACCAATTCAAGGACAAATTCTGTTCTGGATTAACTCAAGGTCTGCCTCTGTTTATCCTGATTTCTGTGGGAAACCCTGGCCCCGATCTCAGAGCTTGAACATGGGCTCAGTGACAATATGGCACACTCAGTGACAGCACACTGTATACACTGTGAACATATTTAATGTTTCACCCACAAAACATGCAGTCAGTTCAGTTTACAGTATATTCTGTGAAGCGTTTTGAGGTGACTCAATGATGTGATAAGTCCTAAAATGTGATGATTATCATGGTGATAATTATCATATCATAGCTCATTTATCACCTCACATAATCCTCAAAGTTCTCTCCTCTCCTAAAGGCACTGACTTGTGTTGGACGATGGTTTCATGTGCTTTACTTGATTTCCATTCTTCAAGTGAGCGTCAGAGTTTCTAGAGGCATCCCAACCTGATCCTGCCCTCACCCAAATCCCGCATACATACATTTCCAGAAGTGAAGAGAAGTGGTGTCCCTGGAATAACAATCAGGGGTGGGGATCCCTGGCAGAGATTTCTCTTCCCTGTCAAGCTTTGAGTTTAACATGCAGAAGGAAGTGAAGACTGAGGGAGAAGAGCTCCACACTTTTGAGGCCCTCAAAAAGAATGTGAGCTCGAGGAAGAGACTGTGTTTTGATTTGCAGACAGTTGGATGCAGAGTGAAGGAACGGGGATTTGGAACTTGGAACGAAAATAAGGTTAAAGGTTAGAAGAGCAATGACCAGAGTAGAACTGAGGAAACAGGCAGATGAGAGATATGAGAGAATGTTACTCTATCAATCGTAAATATGTTTTTGTATTTTGTTCTGGAGTGTGTCTGTGTGTGTGTGTGTAAGGCTGAGAGATATGAGACGGGATTCAATCCTTAGACTCATTTGGGCTTTAAAGAATTACCATTAGGTCAAGAATATTTTAGCAGACTATTTAATCATCAAAATAATCAATTGATGTTCTCAGCCAATCTGTGACAATGTGAGCAACAGAGTGTTGCAAACAAGAACACTTTTTTATTGAACAATAATTAATGCTATTGTCTCCTCTCCTCCTGGCTCTGGGATGGGTTGTTGCTCTCCAATGCGGTTCAGTCTGGCGCTACATTGGAGTGATCGGTGGCTTCGTTTTCATCCTCACTCAGCTCGTCCTCATCACTGCATTCGCTCACTCCTGGAACAAGAATTGGTGAGTGTCCGGCAAACAGCGTTGGGCTGAGCTCGGGCTCGGGAGTGGGAGATGGGCTGTCCACAGGGATGCTCGGGGGTATGGGTGACACTGAGATTTGGGTTTAAAAGGTTATAGATTGCAGGAGGGAGGGATGACTGAGAGAGTGAGTGAGAGAATGGAAGATTGAGGGAGGCAAGGAAGAGGAGACAGTTGAAGGAGGTGAAGATTTCATAGCCTTCATTACCTTGGAATAAATGACTTAGAGGAGAAGAAATTGAGTTAAATATCCAGGGCTGGGTAGGAAGGTCACAGACAGGATTCCTTCACCTGATCGCTCTCAGTGACCCATCCGGGACAGTACTCACGTGCAGACTGATAGTGAGGTAGGTGTAAGGTGGAGCTTGTGTATGGAACTGTTAACCGGATTCCCTTTCTTCTCCAGGATGACAGGAGCGGAAGAGGACAAGCGCTGGTTCCTGGCAGTGGTGGGAGCCACACTGGGCTTCTACACCATAGCTTTGACCGCCTTCTCCCTGATGTACAAGTTCTACACACATCCCTCTGGCTGCCTTCTCAACAAGTTCCTCCTCATTCTTAACTGTGTCCTCTGCTTTACAGTCTCATTCCTGTCTGCCACTCCCTGCGTCCAGCAGAGTAAGTGAGAAAGAAAGAACTTGCATTTTATAACACAGCAAAGCTCTTCACAGGAAAATTAATGTCCAATGGCGTCACTGTTCTTGTAGGCAAACATATTGCGCACTGCAAAGTCCCACAGAAAGCCAAGACAATGCGAGTAACTCTCTTTCTAATAGTCTCACTGGATTGTTAATTACCTGAAGAACAAGCTGAATAACCTGAAACACCTTGATTTAAATCCTCAGCCGACTGATGGCATTCCCTTCAATGGAGCACTGGATTGCCAGCCTTGCCGTGAGCTCAAGTTCCAGAGTGGACTTTTAACCCACTCTTTTCTGACCCAGAGGCGAAAGACCTACCAAACAAGCCAAGCTGGCACAAATGCCTTCTTGTGTTGACAGCGAACACTGCGAGATATAGAGAGGAGGGCGTGGATCACAAAGATCTCCCCTGCAGGAATGAAAGAGCCATTGACAAAACACAAGATTGACATGTTTATTCTTCCCTAAATTATCTCTAATCTTTTGATTAGGTCTCAAAAGGTCAATTCCCACTGGAGAGGTACAATGGGAGCTTTAACATCCTCTATCTCTCTTCGCCTGGTGATCCTGTGCTTCCAGAGAAGGGGCTGGGAGCATTTTTTAGATTACTACTAGTGAGGCCTTTTCACTCGTAATTTTATAACAAGCACAGAATGATGCAATGAACAATGGATAGGAGTGGAGTAGAGGCTCTGTCCCTGAATCACAGATTGAGCTAACCCTGAGAAACATGATTGCAACATGTCTGAAAGAGAAACTGCAACAAATCGGTAACTACAGCGTGTGAGAATCAGAGTGTTAACAGCACTGAAAAAGGCCATTTAGCTCCTCATGTCAGTGCCGGCTCTGGCTTCCCCCACTAGGGCTAACTTGGTTGTCTCTGTGGGTCACTGCTGTGCGCAATTGGCTGTCCACAAAATATACAGTCAATTCACTTTGCAGTGTATTCTGTGAGGCCCTTTGAGATGCCTCAACAATGCTATATGAAGTGCACGGATTATTATCATTAAATTTCACACTGTCTCAGCTGTAAGAGCGTTGATCAAAAATGTAAGATTGTGCAGAATGTTTTGAAAACCGTTCAATTCAACGCAAACTCAGAATTCAGACTTTTTTCTTTAATAAATACAGAAAACCTGCTTTCAAATTAAGTCTGAATTTCCCCAAAATTCTGCACGATCTTAAATTAAGACAATGCCCAAACCAGGGGCAACTTGGGGCTTTGGTGATAGAGAGAACGAATGAAATTTCACTGCTTTGACGCGCGGATTGTGAAGGTGGCTCTTTATGTTTCATTTCAGAACAGCCGCGTTCCGGCTTGCTTCAGGCCTCCATTATCAGCTGTTACGTCATGTACCTGACATTCTCTGCTCTATCCAGTCGCCCACCTGACAGAGGTCAGTACCCAGACCCCCGCCTCCTCAAGGGAAGAAACTGTGTGTCTTTGTATTAGCAGTAATATGTCATTTAGGCCCCTCTCACCATTGAAGCCTTGGCCTCAATATCTCACTTAAATGGTTGATGTAGAGGCCACAATCTTAGGCCCTGTGTTGACTGCACCTGGAACATTGGGGAACCGGTCTGTGCTGAAGGACTCTACACTGATGAATGGGATGAAAGGAAGCCTCAGCCCCATCTCGATCACTACCCTGCCATTTTCTGAATGGCACAAGGACAGGTACAGGCAGTACCTGACCCCGCAGAACAGCAGAGAAACTTGTCATGTAATAAAAGCCATGGCATAGATACCAGAGGATTTGGATGGGTGGGCAGGGGGATCCCATTCCAGAAAGGAACTGTGTTGGTGAAGGCTTGGCCACCGATAGTAGGAGTGAGCAGTAAATTAGAATCAGATGAGTGCAAGGCAAGGACAGAAAAGTGGAATTGGAGGAGATTGTAAAGGTAGGGATTGGAGATTTGAGACCAGGCTCTTAAGATGTTGAAGAATAATTTAGCTGTCCAGTCAAAATGAAATGTAACCTTTCCTTTTCCAATTTTCTCAGTGGAATACCAGGGTCAGAACATAAGCATCTGTTTCCCGAGTGTCAGTAAGGATGGAATGCAGACTGAGGACACTTTGGTAGCCACGGTTGGTGCTGCTATCATGTACGGCTGTGTGCTGTTTGCTTGGTAGGCACTTTGTTGAATGATTTGATTTTTTTTAAAAAAATGAGTAAACTGGAACCACAAACGGTCATTTAAGATCACTTTCTACAACTGCCCATAACTTTTACGGAGATTCATTCCATCCTCTCTGGTTCCTACTAACATGAGTGTCAGAGTGAGCCCAGCCCTAGTCCGAGCCATATGGTACTCAGGCTTCATATTGAAGAGGATCATAAACCATTGGCAGAAAGTCAAGGTAGCCAACTCCAACAGTAACTCCAATCAAACTAGAGTGAATTTAGAAGACTCTTCAGGACAATGGGCCAGGACAATGGGAGAGCTCTCTATTCTTCTTCTAAATAGTACCATAGGATGTCCATCTGGATCACTAGACCCTTGGTTTAACATCTAATTGGAAGTAAAGTAGCTCCAACAATTCAGCACTCCCTCTGGACTGCACTGAAGTGTCAGCCTAGACTGTGAGCTCAAGTCCTCATGGAGGGCTTGAAGCCAAGAGACCAGAGTGCTGCAAACCAGTCAATCTGATCTTTATGAGCTCACAAAGCTCACAAATGAGTTCCGGCTGTGTGTCCCAGGAGTGAACTAGATGGGGACAGTTTAAAAATAGTTTATGGATGTTTAATGGAGATTTATGGTCTAATTTGTTTGGCCATATATTGCGTGGTTTCTGCTTGTTATGAATTGGTCCCAACTCAAAGCAGTTTATTAAATTACTGAATCAGTTCTTATAACTTGTTTGTAGAGATTATATCAGCATGGGAATGAAATGCTTAAGCAATCAAGAAAGTTGCACTTTTCAGAGCTACCCTGATGGCTGAATGATTAAATGCACCACCCAGTGAGGTACTATACCATACTGATGAGGAAGGTCCCAGGTTTGAGCTGGGTTATATCAGTCAGGTTGCAGTTGAGGCTACAATTGGCCTCTGTGCCCCTGAATTAGGGAGAGTAAAGTCAGTCAGGGCTTTTAGTCCTGCTAATCCCGATCCAGAGCTCACTGCTGGGAGATTGATGTCAATTAGAGGCATTTTACCTCTGAACTCAGAACACACACACAGACACAAACACAAATTTGGATGAAATTTCACTGGTGAGAAAAGTTAATATCTCACATTCATAAAAGGGATATCGCATAACCACAACTGCCAGTAAATTGTGCACCTTGGTAGAGAGAATGACTGAATGATGCAGAAATCTCAACAAACCTGAATCAAGATTTGAAATTGGTCGCTGGGTGGGATTTCGTAGTTACACATCCAGACGGGCACTGACAAGCTCTGTGTATAATTACCCTATGATATGTGAGTTTCTGATTCGTATCTTTCATTTCACAAGCAATGAAGCCTCATACCTTGCCAGGGTTTTTGGCCCTTTCTGGATGATCAACGTGTACAGATATGAATTCAAGGTCAGTAAACCAAGTATGTCTGTACAACTCCTCATAATAATAATCATTGCATTTGATATAACATCCTTCATGTCAAGAGGATGTTTCAAAATGTTTCACCGGATTTACTGTGTATTTTGTAGCCATTTGCACACAGCAATTCCCCACAAATAGGGGAGACAAATATGAAGTGAGTGATCAATTTTATCTGGGGGGATGGTTGGCCAGGACACCGGGAGAAACTCCCTTTTCTTTTTGAATAGTGCCAGGGGATCTATAATGCCCACCTGAACAGGCAGACGTGATCTCAGGTTTAAGTTTCACCTGAAGGATGGCACCTCCAATAATGTCAGCATTGCATTGGAATGGCAGCTTAGTCTACACAAGTTCTAAGTCATTTATTCTGTTTCTTAATTTTCTCATTACATCAAGTTGGCAACTTGGCTCAGCTGGTAGGGCTCTCATTCCTGTGTAAGGAAGTTATTAGTTTAAGCACTGTGCATTTTGAGACATTTAAATGTTATAGGTGTGATATCAAATGCAAGGATGCCTTTCATTCTTTCTTACTTCCTTATCAACAATTCCTGAAACAGTCTGATAATGACAACAATGGCTTGCATTTATACTGTGCCCCTTCACATGGGGTAGCAACAGATAGGTTACAATTCATAGTTGTTTGTCACAGATAAATTGCCACAGCACCATTTTATTCCCTTTAATCTATTTCACATCTTGTAGTTTCATTTGGGTATATTTTAAATTTTAAGATATAAAACAGTGAGCTACTAGTTTACTTCAGTGTCTGGTGGGGGAGCTGAGCACCCAGACCAGGAAAGTCCCTGGTGTGTTTCCCTGTCTGTATTGTACGGGCTAAAGTTGGCTTCTTTGTGTGCTTTTGAGGTCGGGAGAGAAAAACAGCTGGAAATAGTTCCTACTCCTGAACACTGTTCAGTTATCTCAGATGAAGCATACTTGTGTGTGTGTGTGTGTATCCATGCGAGTTTGTGTGTGTATTCACGTGTGTTTATATCTGTGAATATTTGTATGTGGACCTCGGGTGAGGACAAGGTCATCAAATAGCTATTAAAACCCCCAGTTACATAATCCCTTGCTTCCTTCAAGACCCATCTCAAGACCCTCCTCTTCCAGCGTGCCTTCGGTCACCCTCCTACCTCTTCCCGTCTTCCACCCCTTCTGATCCCAATCTCAACTACCAGCTCGGGTGTGGATCCCTGACTGTCCAGGGCTTTGGGATGTCCTCCTGACGTGAAAGGCTATTCAAATGTAATTTGTTGTTGTATGGACTCCCACATGAAGCCCAGCGGCTTGGATTAACTGCTAAGAAATGGTGCCTGTGGTAAGGTACCCTAGTATGAGTCAGTGTTTTCAAGAGATGAAGGAACAAGATGAAATAGCCAACATGTTCTAGCACATGTGGGATTCTTGCACCTGATAATTTTCTGATGTGAGTTGTCAGGGAGGGAGTGGCTGGCTCACAGAGCAGTTATTATTATCACATCATTGCCAGAATGGTACAGACCCATTCACTCCTGGAGAGATTGGTATCTACCAGTCAGTCAGATTGTATCAGTGACAGTCAAAACATGAGACCAGCCGACATTCTCCCTCTCCCTCCCAGGATCTCAGTGCTTCACACAGGCAGGAGACACTGTGAGATACAATATCGCATTTCCATGGCGACATGGGCAGAACTGATGTGTCTGGGTGGGAGGCTTTAACCCCATTAAATTCTGCTGTTCTGGTTGTCATACATTCATGATATTTAATAATAGCTTTTCAATTGCAATCTTATACAACAGCCCAGTAGTCTCATCATTATAGCACTAACCAGCCAACTGAAATATCAAAGGATTATAAATGTCAGCAGAATTACGAGATTGGATTGCTGCCTTAAACCCACTGCTGGTTCCTCTTTATAATGATCTGATTGCTCAATTCACTTCCGCGAGATACGTTCTCACATCTTGTCACCTTCATGTGGCAGGTAAAGGAAGGGAGCAGTGAGAAGGGAACAAGTTTTGGAATGATGACTCGGTGGGTAATAATAACACTAGTAAAAATCCTAAGATTTGACATAGCGCCTTATCATGTGGCTGAAACTTCTCAAAGCGCTTCACAAGGTTTTGTGACTGTGTATTTTGTAGGCGAATGGGCAGTCAGTTCTGTAGAGCAATGTTCCACAAACAGCCATGGAGCGAATTAACAATTTTATCTGGAGGATTGTTGGCCAGTACACCCTTCTTCTTTAAATAGTGTCGCAGGATCTTTCACACCCACCTTTATTGTCAAATGAGACCTCGTTTTACCAATTCATACGAAGGACGGACCCTTTGATAATTTATCGCTTCCCAAACATTGTATCAGTATGTCAGCCTCTACTGTGTGAGATCGAAGTCCTGACGTGGGGCTTGAGTCACAACCTTCTGACTCAGATGTGAGGGAGCTACCACCTGATCAAGGCTGACATCAAAAGACAAAGGGCAGAAGCAATGCTTAGAGTGACACTGAGCCCATACAGACATTAGAAACTTTGTTTGCTGTAACAACCTTCTCAACACTCCACATGTAGCGATGGCCCTTACAGTCACTCAGTCAGACAACTTACACTGATGTAGCATCTCATCCAAATGAAATGTCACATGAGACTCTCAAAGAATGAGATGGACTGGAAATGTAGATAATGTTATCGAGAAAAACTTGGCAGCAAGTGTGCATGAGCAACATCCCCCGCACACAAAGGGATCAGCGGCAAATTAATTAGATTTGAGGGCTGAATTTGGATGAGGCAGGAATATGAGCCAAGATAACTAGGTGGAAAACTAGCTATGATTGTGGTATAATTGTGGGGTGGTGTTTGGGAAGAGTGACCTGCGGATATGAGGGAAAAGTACCTTCTGGCCAACATTCCTCCAGCAGCTAAATTGGTCATTCACCTATTAGTTTTTTTCGATGTGATAAGATGCAATGAAAATGCACATTCCTTCTATTTTTTCAGTCTCTTAATGGAAAACATGGTTTCTTGTCTCTCTTACAGAAAGCCTCCTGCCACTTTTGCTGCCCTGATGAGGATGAAGATGGAGGTGAGTTGACGGGACTAATGTAGTGGAGGCAGCGGCTGTTCCTGAGATAATGTAGCATTTTCTTATTCTTTAAAATCTCAACTTCCCCTCCTAGTCCTATGCAGATATCTAATCTTTGTATATAAATAGAGTGGCAGGTTTCATGTACTTCTACAAGTTGAAGATCGACCTATTTGTGTCTGTGATCTTTCCTTTTCCATAACCTGTCTATGTATGTGACCAGTTTGTGAATCACTTTACACTTCTGCAATTTTGCTAAAACACCATCCTCAAAGGCCTTTAAAGATCCCATTTTTTTGAAGGAAAGTTGATCTCAGCTCTTCCAGATTGATCAATAGGACATCAAGAGCCAATAACTCAGCACTGGACTCAAGGGCGAAACCTTGGGCAAGTTTCCTTACTCCACACGCCTCATAATAATCCCTCCAAAACAATAATAAAAATTGGTCATTTTCAATCCACAACTCTTTGTAGGACACTGCTGTGTGCAATTGGCTGCTGCATTTTGTCCACAAATATACAGTCAATTCGCTTTACAGTCTATTCTGTGAAGCACTTTAAAAGATCGAATTATTTAAGAATTCAATGATTTAATGATAGAGTTGAGTTGATAGCCTTGAAGCTTCTTCATCCAAACCTGTCTTATGAACTGATTACTGATCATTTTTTTGTCCTGTTTTCTCTCACATATCATAGTTTCATTGGTTTTCATTGTATTTTGAATGCACAGAACATTCGTATGAGATTGACAACAAAGGAGGCCAGAGAGTGATACAGAACGAGCAGGACAGCGTTTCCTACAGTTACTCCTACTTTCACTTTGTCTTCTTCCTCGCCTCTCTTTATGTCATGATGACCCTCACAAACTGGTTCAAGTAAGTTGCCCAATGTGAAGAATTTTTCCAATGTTAGATACCAAATTTTAAGCACGATTATTGCTTTGACTGATCTCAGCCAAGATGGCTGTGGCTGTCAATTGTTGGCATCAATGCCATTGGGCTGAGATACCAGCTGTTGTTGTTATCTGGTTACATTCCTCCCCACCTGTCCTCAAACGCGTATGCGGGTTGGGGAGAGAGTCGGAAATGATCAGTAAAAATAATTGATCTTTAATAATAAAGAGCGATTAAGGAATTACATTTGTGTAACATTTCAGTCTAGCGTACAGTACAGATTACAGTCTACATAAAATAAATTCTCCATTTAAAGTTGGCTTGATCCAGATGAAGGGACAATTCATACTGAAAGTTGCTTCACTGTGTGTACAAATACATATGTAACTGGGGGGAATTGACATAATTTTACTTTCTAAAGATCAACACGGTTCATTTTCTGTTCAATTTTCTCTCCTGGCAACATCTCAGCTACGAGTCGGTCTCTCTGGAGACAACCTTCTCATACGGGAGCTGGTCAACCTTCTGGGTAAAAATTATTTCGTGCTGGCTCTGCGTCTTGATGTATCTCTGGATTCTCCTGGCCCCATTGTGCTGCCTGAGCAACAACCGGCGGAGGGTCAGCCACTCCAGGTAGCACCCAGGCCTGGCACCAAACTGTGGCCTCCAGCAAGGGGGTGGTGGGGGGGGGGGGGGGGAGTTGTAGTCAAGTTCATGCCTTCAGCTTTTCCCTTCCTTTCACCATCCACAAGCGCTGCCAGGCACCGTGAGACTTCTTCGCTGCTCGGTCAAACAGAGGGGGCTAGGAGTTTCTCGATCCTACTGTAAAGACCTTCATGGTCAGACCTTGGGATAAGATGATATTTTGTTTGGTTGGACTGAAGTTGATCCTTTCTGCACAGAGATGCTATGATCAGCTCCCTCATTCCTGTGCAGTCTATCTCCAGTGCAGTTACCCACCGAATCGTGACTGCAAATGGTAGCCACGTGGAAGGGTCAGTGGATTACATGGAACAGCTCTTGAGGACGAGACCTCACATTTGATCCTCAAGGAGAGGCTGAGGTTTGGAATGAACTGGATGTGATGCCATATAGGAGAGGCCTATGGATTCGATATGGCTTCATACAGGACAAGCCTATGAATACAGATGTCATGACACTATTGGAAAAGAGAAGGGTGTTTCTCCCATTGACCTAGCCAGTGATTCTCGAGATAAATGGTCATTCAACCTTATAGGTGTTTGTGGGACTTCGCTGGAGCTAATAGCTGCAATTTTTGCCATCAAAAACAGTCACAGTAATTATAACAGTAATTATCTGTGAATCACTGAGATGTTCAAAATACCAAGGTGCTATAAAAATGCAAGCTTCTTTATTTTTTTCTTCCTTTTTAATCTATCTGTGTAGATGTGTATTGTGAATTCTCTTCCTCCCTAAGAATGTCGTCCATGAAACATGGTGTGACTTTGGGAAGTTTGTGTATGATTGAGAACAAAAAAGTTCCCCTGGCTCAACACATCAGGACTTGATCTAACCATAGTCTGTGCGCGTGGAGTGTTCGGTCTGTGTTAGTGCTTTAATCCTATCATTATTTAGTACAAGATTGTTTTATGAATTTCATAATGTGCTGTGGGTTAATCACATGTGGGAAACATTAGACTCAAGTAGAGAATCAACCATTAAATCAAGAATTAAAGGCCTGAAATGAGCTAAGTTAAGCTCCAAAACAGTTTGGTATAATTTGTTATGGACTAAGCACATGTGCAATTAAGGGGCATTTCAAAATGGATTTAATATATCGGTCAAAAATCTGACATGCTTATTGTGCTGTGTGTGAATGTCTTACAATTCATTGGCACTCACTGCGATGCAACATCATGGGAGTGTTAGCATTTGTAGACAATGTGGGTTAAATGCAATACTTTTTAATGAGATTCTTTAAATAAGAAATCCAGAATCCCTTTGATTTAAACTACTCTCAGAGGGGACATTCCCGTGGGTCAATGTAATTATTACCCCTGGAAAAGTGATCCGCCAATCGACTTCCTACTTAAATGTTAGGTAAACAGACGCGTGTGGAGTAAGGAAACTTTCCCAAAGTTTTACCCTGCCCGGGAATCAAATTCCGGTCCTCCTGCTTGTGAGGCGAGTGTTCTAACCACTAACCTGCAGGACTCCAAATATAAATAATCTTTGCATTTTATCTACATATGATCCACTTTTGCAATGTGGATAAAACATTCAAAATATATTGGGTGGAATCTGCAGTACATCTTAATAAGAAATGTGTAATCAATGAATTTTCCAAACCTGGAATGTGCTGAAGATTGCATCCTGTTCAGGAATCTGTTAAGAAACACCAGAAACTATACCCCATTAGGACACAATTTTAAAAAAAAATGTTAAATGGAAATTGTGGTGTTGGGACCACACATTTAATATGACTTGTGCAAAGTTTTGAGTTGTCAGACTTGCATAGAATATAAACTCTTGAAGGGGACTTGGGCAGATGTATGACTTGGGTGATTATACGATTTATACAGATCAGACTTTTAACTGTTTTATCAGTGAGTTTTACTGTATAGAGGATGGTGGGAGTGGGGAGTGACTTTGTGTAAGTCCAAAATAGCACAATGTAAATAAAATCCTCTGTGATAAGGCTGGATCCTGTGATGTTCCTATAGATGAATACCTGCCTGAATTATGGTCGCTCACTGCCAGGCTCTCACAGGAGGAATGGAAACTTGTGCAAGGCTGCTCAGTGCCCGTGGAGTCCACCCTGACACAGATTTCTGAAATAGGGCCCAGCTGCTCTGTGACAGGAATGGTTCCCAGCAACTGGCCATCAGGGCGGAAGGATTGTTTCACATTTTGAAAATAACCAGGTCTAAATAAAGAGTTTTGCTGAAGAAACACTTGGAAACAAACCAACAGAATACAAACAACGGTGCCAGCTTGGACCTCAGAGATAAGAGCGGCCCCTTAAACCAAATTTATAGTGAGCTGAAGAGAATGTCTGGTGGGTGCTGTGGGGAGATGCAACAAGTCTCTCAGATCAGTTCAACCAAAGCCAGGAGACAGCAGTTCCTATCAACCCCAGTGTGGGTTAGACTCAGAAAGCACTGGCTCCCTCAACTAAGCAATGAGAAGAAATGTACCTACATGGTTGGGTCAATGGATTAAATTGGCTAAAACATAGGTAGGTGAAAGTGAGATGGCAGAAAAAAAAACGAGGACAGAAATAACACCAGCTGAAACTAACTCCACTAAGATAGAAATGCATTTACTTCAGTAAAAGATGTATATTTTGTTCAAACATTGAGGCCCCCCCTGAACCCCACCACCTCTGGCTCCTGTTTCCATTTGCTCCCGTGCACAAATTGCGCAATTTTCTCCAAAGGAAAAATGAAGTAAACCAGGAACTTTAATAGCCTTTGAAAACTTTTATTTCTTTTTCTGCAGATGTCCCACAGGACATTTTCCTTGTGGCTGCCAATCCCCAGGCTTTGCTTATCCTGCTGCTGCTCTGTGGGGGGTTAATGAATTAGAGGGACTCGCTCTTTTTGTTCTTGCAATGGGATTGCATTTCCTCACTGGATGCTTAAAAACATTAGAAGTTTGGAACGAGAGATCATTCAACCTATCATCACCCAACAGTTCATATGCAATATGCTGAGACAAGGACATTACTCAACTTGCTCTCTCAGTACCTCTATATAATAATAATAATCCTTGCATTTGATGTAGCGCTTTTCACGTCGGGAGGACGTCCCAAAGCGCTTCACAGAACACACTGTAAAGTGAATTGACTGTATATTTGTGGGCGAACGTGGCAGCCAATTGCACACAGCAATGTCCCACAAACAGTCGTAGATTGAAAATGACCAATTTATTATTGTTTTTGGTTTTTTGGAGGGATTATTATTAGGCGTGTGGAGTAAGGAAACTTGCCCAAGGTTTCGCCCTCTGCCTGGAATTGAACTCAGGTCTCTCACTTGCAAAGCGAGTGCTCTAACCACTGAGCTACAGGACTCCACTCTAGTCTGTGGAGCTCTTTTTCCTCAATCGTAGAATCGTGAAATTTGACAGGACAGAAGTACACCTTTTGGCTTATTGAGTCTGTGCTGTCTATATCCATCTGATCTCGCTTTCCTGACTCTTCTCTTCTGCCAACATGTCACTTAAGTGTTGAACTTCTGCAGTGGAATTTCAACATTTTACTCAATATAAACAGCTGGCAGTATAAACAAAGTTGGGGCATAGTTATATTCATCTGAGCTTCGCGATTCCCGACTCTTGAAAATTCCATCTAGTCTAGTGTGTAAGATCATTTTGTCTTTAAAATTTAAAAAATCACGCAGAACTCTTAAATTCAGTCTTAATTTGAAAGATGTACAGAACACAGCTCCATCAGTCAGGACCAAGGAAGCTGCTGCAGCCAAAAATACCAAGTACAGTATATACACTGACTCTTTAACAGCCGCCTGTTAAAAATAAATAGGTTAGAAGGAATGGAACAGTGGCACATGATAGCAATCTGTAACATCATAGATAATCCAAAATAGAAGGGAGGAACATGGGAACAATGAGAAAGTGGTGCACAGAAATAAATGTTATTTTCGATTGCATTTTATTTGCCTCTTTTAATGGTGTGTGGTTAATATACAGTAAGAGCTGTCCTGACATTTGAATCGTTTTCCCACTGTTTGCAAGCGACAATTTGTGTGGCTTCCTGATCTACAATCTGCTCACACAGTCAATTAGAAATGCATTCACCCACAACATGCATACACACAAACTACATACATACAGATAAATACACAAGCAGCACAGTTTGTGGTATTAACTAAAGAATGAGATTGAAACCACAAATAGTTGCTCTTTCATTTGTGACTTTAATAGAGGAATCAGGAAATCTGCAGACCCTATAAAAAAGGTTTTTTAAAAAAACCTGTTTTTCCCTTTCTCCAGAATCATCCATTCGTAAAATATAAATGAATCTCCCACAACTCTTTCCGATTGCTGTCTTAACAAACATGTTCTCCTCCAAATGAAACAGAACAATCTAAATCCCACTTCAGAGCTTTGGCTTTTATCAGCAAAGTTAAAGTTACCAGGTTTACAGAAATAATAACATTCAGAACGTTACCGTTTAGGCACTTGTAATTTACACTTTCCTGTCTTAATTCAGCCTAAAACCTCTGATCCATCATGTATCCAACACTTACCTATTCATTCACACCACATAAAGAGGCTTTATCTCAACTGGAAGGCAATACCATTTAATCAATTAATCAAATAAAGTTTGTTCTCCAATAAATACTCTTGATATAATTTCAATTATTTATAGTCATTTATACAAATATATATATTGTGTATAGTATGGGTGAAATACAAAACTATGTAAATTGCTTGATGTGGAAGTTGGGCTAATTGTGATATATTTCGGTTTTATATTTTTAAGCTATTTTCCATTTAAAAAACAATTTTTCTGCTCAAAGATTAAAAAATATCCTATCATCCATAATAGCGAGGTTAGTCCTGGTTTAAAGAAGCCCTATTTACACAACACGGAGTGTTTAGTTGCAATGTTACTGACTTGGGGGAAAAAAAATGTTACCTTTAATTTATAGTCTTTGGTCAAACTGCATACAGTTTGTTCGAACAATTAGTCATGATGAGAATTTTCTTGAAACATATTAAGAGGATGCAATAATAGAGGCACAATTGCAACCCCAGTCTAGGGTATTGTCTTTGCATCTTCAAACCTAGGTCTGGGGTTAGTGAACAGATTAACAGACTCCCCACGTTCCCAGGTAAGGAATGGCCAGCAGATACCTCCAGAGTAAAGACTGTCTCAGGTGTTTTCTTATTCATCTCCAGTCTGGCAGTGGCCTGACCGTTCTATCCTTTGTTCCATTTTATGGCTTTATAGCCATCTCCTCTCTTCAGTGCAAAGAATGCCCTCGACTAGGCCAATAATAATAATAATAATCCTTGCATTTGATATAGAGCTTTCACGTCTTCTAGATGTCTCAAGCACTAGGAGGCTAATCAGAGATGGCGATGTCCTTGTGGTGGTGGCCTCCCCTAATTTGCTAGATTTCTCAAATGCACCGTCTGGTGGCTGGCTCACGCAACACTGAAAATTGTTTCTCCAAATGCTTGTGGTCACTATTTCCCCATCTCAGTGACACGTTGCTGCCCCATGCCTTTGTGATTTCCCTCAGTACAGGAAGACAGAAAAATAACTCAGCAGGAATGAAGCAACATTTCCTGAACTTACAGTGCTTTAGCTTTTTCAGGCAGAGGATCCGAGCAAAATCTAGAACTGGTGAGCTGACTACCCTGACCCCATCCCAGGGCACTAGCTGGAGGGACGCAGATCACAAGCTTGCTTTGTTCAAAGGAGAAAGCTCTTTTAAGCTATGCCCATTGCCAGCAGAGCAGCAAAGGGCAAACTCCACGTCTTGGAACCTCTTCATTGTCGGGACCAGTTTTACACCGAGTTGCACACAGTGTGCACACACTGATCTCACACCAAGTTACACACATGCAGAGTTGTGATCACCTGTCATCATGGGACGATGGGATTTTAAAATGTTTTTAAAACAAATGAGCCTGGACAATTAGTGCCACTGGGTATTAGTAACCATGGGAGTATCAGATTTGAGACCTAGGTTTTTAAGTCGTGGTTAAAAATCCACCCTCGGCGGCCGTGCCTTCAGTCACTATGCCCCGAGGCTCTGGAACTGCCTTCCTCACTCCCTTCACCTCGTTCCCTCCCTTCCTATTTTCAGGTCTCTGCTGAATGACCTTTCTTTTCGACCGCGCCTTTGGTCACCTCCCCCCACCTCAGTCCCGGGATCCGTTACTGTAAAGCGCTCTGAGACGCAGTCCGGCGTGGAGGGAGCTACATAAATCCAAGTTGTTGTTGTTGGAGTCACACTACCTGCCTTAGTGAAACTGTGAACAGAGACCCAGAGTGAAAATCACCTAAGACCGTTTCCACACTTGCTCTAACGTGCATAGATGCCTCAAGGTGCTGCAGACCTTTAACAAACATGAAAGCGAAGGGCCACCACCTTCTCAGGGCAAAAAATGCTGACCCCGCCAGAGTTGCCCACATACTGCGAATGAGTAAAAAAAATCAGCATCAGTTTCTCGGAAACAACTGAAATAAAATGGACATTTTTTTCTGCTTTGAGTTTACACGGAAACAGAAGAGTCATTCAGTTGGGGGCAAGATGACTTTACACCTCTGTGGACTGTAGCAGATTGGCTTGTTGACTATCTGTCTGCCTCTCCCTTACGCTGGCTATAAAACTTCTTGCACTCCTTGCCCAGGCCCTTCAGCAGCTTTTCCTCTTTGGACCTGTACAGACGGACGAAACTGTCTGTCTCCAGCAGTATCCTGTTGAGAGTCCGCTCATAGTTCACGTGCCTCCGGGCCATTATTATGTATTCCTGTTTCTCCAGGAGTTCGGGGCAGTCGCAGATGTTGGGCACCCACAGATATTCCCTCCTCAGGATGGAGAAGTTGTTCTTGTAGTTCGTCAGCACTTGAATATCGTAGCGGGTCTCCATCCCAATGGCTCGCTTACCAATAATCCTGCCGCGGAACACTGAGACACGGATACACATCATTCAGCCACGCTCAGTTCAAATGTGTGAACAGGAAGTTGCACAGGCTAAATCTAATTCAAACATCGATTCTTACTGGGTCAAGGTTTACAGCTTCCTTACAACAACGACAAGATTGCATTTATAGAGCGCCTTTCACGTCGGGAGGTCGTCCCAAGGTGTTGGACAGTTGGGTCGGGATCCGAGCAGGGGGGAAATGGTCAGGGTGAGGGGTGGGAAGGGAGGAGGTGGTAGAGAGTCGAGAGGGGAGGTGAAGGCACGGTTGAAGAGAAAGGTTTTGAGACCGGCCTTGAAGGAGGAAAGGGAGGAAGCAAGGTGAAGGCACTGGGGGATGGAGTTCCAGATGGTAGGGTGGTTAGGGCGGGGGGTGTGGAGCAGACTGGAGCCAGAGGAACGGAGGGTACGGGCAGGTAAGTAGGGGGATAGTAGGTCAGAGAGGTAGGAGGGAGCAAGGCCGTGAATGGCCTTGTAGGTGAGGATGAGGATCTTGAATTCGATCCTCTGGGGGATGGGGAGCCAGTGGAGGCGAGCGAGGGTGGGAGTGATGTGGTCGCGAAGCCTGGTGTGGGACAGTACACGAGCTGCAGAGTTCTGAATGATCTGCAGCTTGTGGAGGGAGGTGCCGGGGTCCAGCCTTGAGGTGATAAAGGCGTGGACCAGTGTTTCAGCAGCGTGAGGGGTGAGGTAGTGCCGTAGTCTGGCGATGTTCTGGAGGTGGTGGAAGGCGGTGCCAGTTGTGGCGCGGATGTGGGGAAGAAAGGACAGCTCAGGGTCGAACAGAACACCTACACGAATGAATACATTAATTTTTACTCAATTGTTCTCTCAGATGTTGTGCGTTCCAAGCCAAGCCTTATTCTCACAAAATAAGACAAGATTTTCCTCTCTACCTGACTGCAGGGCACAAAAACAATGTCTTCCCAGGACTGAACAAGATCTTTTTCTATTTCTATCATTGAGAATTCTCCTGACAAATAAGCACACTCCTGAAATGAATCTACCCTGTGTAAAGCCTCCTCAAACCCAAACCCCAACCCTCAACCCCTCAAGCCCAGGCACTTGAAGGTGTCTCCTGAAGAAGGTGCCCTTCTACTCCTGATGAGCCAGTAATTTCTGGCTTACTGCTGAATATTTCAAAGCTCGACCAAAACGGACGCAGCAGGCGAGATCCAAAAAGGGAAATCAGACTGAAGGGAATGGATATCTTCCATTTGCGTACTTACCAAAATCTTTTGCACAGAATTGCCGGAGACGATTGGACTTGCCTCGCACTTTCCTACACTTGCCACAGTTATCTAAAAGATAGGGACAGAAAATAATCACATTCAAGGGTTCTGGAGCAGGAGATTGAACGGACGAGGTACCTCTGATGAGCGGAGGTACCTGGAAAGGGGTGGGGAGGGGAGGAACGAGGCAGATATCTGTGCTGTCCAACATATTGAATTCACATTCAGACACATAGTGAAATGATCATAGATGTCAACACCAGCGTGGGTTACATACTGAATTTTTTTTTGCTTTAAACTGTCCCATCTAATGCTTCTAGTTCATAGGTAAGATACAGAGTAAACAACCCTCTACAGTGTGTTACCAAGCATTGCTTACTTGCACTGATGTGACATTTTTCCAATTTCCAACACAAGTCCTTTGGTCTCACTGAGTTAGACGACAAATCAGAATAAGATTTGTGCAGCGAGAAACTCGTCTCAGACTCAGACCCTTGAAGCAAAGAGATGGAAAGGTTTTTCTGGTCTTCTCTGGATTTAAACCCACATCTCAAAGGTGAGATGGAGTATGTGGAATTAGGAAGCATCACCCAGTGGATGAAGGCTTGCAATGAGCCTTCTGTTGTGTCTCCAATCCCTCTCTGCAGAGCCTCTCAACATCACTTTATCTATGTTAATGTACGCAATCAGAAATAACAAATTCTTGTATCTCAGTAGCATTAAATTAAACAGTGATGTTTCACGAACCAGTGAAAACTGTTCGCGTGTCCAGATTTATTAATCGGCTAAAGAAATAACATGTTTGATTACAGAAACAATAAGAAAGTGAATAAGAGTGAGATGGATTCTGGCAGATTGCTACATTCTTTTACACTTAATACCATATTAGGAGAAAGTATGAGTAGGAAATCAAGCCAAATATTTATCAGTGTCGGAGCCAAAGCATGTTCAGCGTTTTGCAGTCAGGCTGCTCTGTTGGAGCTAAACACTTTCAGGCGAAGCCACACAAAAAAGCACGACCACTTGCTGGTTTTACAAGTGGGGTAATTATTGTTTCATGGCTTTAATTTGGCATTTCTTTAAGAGCACCTGGGGAACAGGGGAAAATATCTCTTTTGGGAAATTAATGCTAGGTCCTAAACATGGAGCCAATCTGATCCTGCAGTAATAATAATAATCCTTGCATTTCATATAGTGCCTTATCACGTCGTTGAGACGTCGCAAAGCGTTTCACAAAATATATTGTAGAGAAAATTGGCTGCGAATTTTGTGGGCAAAACACGGCGGCCAATTACGCACAGCAGTGTCCCACAAACAGTCGTTTCTAGTTAAAGGTAGTTACAGCAGTGAATAAAACAGCCAGAGGTAAGATTCAAAGGATATAGATATAGTAATATCAAATTAGAAATCCAATTCATATACCATGCTTGCTGAATAGAAGGTAACCTCAATTCTCTTACAGCTTACCTGGGTTCTGACTTCACCTGATATTCATGCAGGTGTAATTTTCAATAGAATCGCTGAAAACGCTGTTTGATTTTTTTTTAAAAAAGCACCACGGGAAGCGAAAGACTTGTACACAAAGAATGGTCATTTAAACAGGGCGCAGAGAAGGGTGCACGTCACCAGTTGTCCCTTGCCACGGAATACGGAAATTTCATGCTTAAGCAGTCAACAACAACTGGCGCTTGCTTAGAACCTTTAACATGGGGCAAACATCACAAAGTGCTTCACAAACATGATCGGCAGCACAGGTAGCAGTGAGGAGAGGAAGGAGCATTTAAGTGTTTTGACCAAAGGCGCGGTCATAAGGATTATATTTTAAAAGGAACTTGAAGATGGGGCGAGAAGGTACAGGGTGAAAGGATTTTGGGAGAGAATTCAGAAAACAGGACCTAGTCTCTGTGAGTGGGTTGTAGGCAGGTAGGAGTTAAGTGTATCAGGGTAGACTTTGCCCCCTGTTTCTGGTGAAGCAGTAGGATGGAACAATTCACAAAGGGAGCAAAAGTGTCTTTTCACTGTCATTAACTTTAAATGAAACTGACAGGTTTAATTCTCCCAAACCAGCTTTTATTGCCAGGGTTGAGGGCACAACCACTGAGCTGCTCCTCTCTGCTTTTCCATCAAAACTAATGGTGGAGGCCTCTCGGTTTATAAGCATTTGAACCAGATTAGTGTGGGGATTAGGCCTGGCGTTCGGCCAGTGGCCATCGGAGAAGCGGCTGACGTCACGCAGCAGAAGGCTCCTGAGATCCACTCCCTCACCTCTCATGTGTAGCAGCTCATTGCACTGCAGGGACAGGAGTAGGCCACTCAACAAAAACTTGCATAGTGCCCCTCATGCAGGGTATCATCCCAGAGCACTTGACAGTGGCGGAGCACGACTCCAAGCCGGGGGGAAGGGAAGGTGACCGTTGGCACAGTCGAATAGGAAGGACTTCAGACACAACCTGAAAATGGGGAAGGGAGGGGAAAGGCGGAGGGATAGAGGAAGAGTGTTCCAGAACTCCTCAAGCCTATTCCACCATTCTATTAGATCATGGCTGAGCTGTACCTCAGCTCCATTTACCCAACTTTGCTCCATATCCCTTGATACCCTGACCTAACAAAAATCTATCGACCTCAGTCTTGAAAACTTGAATGGATCCAGCATCCACAGCCTATTAGGGGACGAGAGTTCCAGATTTCCACTACCCTTTGTATGAAAAAAAAGTGCTTCCCGATTCCACTCCTAAATGGCCTAGCTCTAATTTTAAGATTCTGCCCCCTTGTTCTGTATCACCCCACTTCCCCCCGTAAAAAGTATTAATTACAGTAAAGTCTAGCAGCTGTTCTGTAGGTAGACATGAGAACCATGTGTCAAAAAAAGGCATGAGGTGAATCAACAGTTAATCTGGAAGATTGTTGTCTAATAATGTTGTTGGTTAGGGCCAGGGAGCACTAACCTGGTTTGGGATCCTCTGGCAGGTAATTCACGTGTGGCCAGGCTTCCCGGCGAGAGCCTGGGTCATAGCGGTTCTGGACAGTGGGGCTCCGTACTGTAGGGAGGAAAGAATAAAATGAAGCACCCTTAGGGCTGAAAATACCTCAAAACATCAACATAAAATCACACTTCTCCTCACAACCTCAAAAGCCATCACACTTTCTCCTCCAATTCACTCTGTCCAAGGTCCTCAATATTATGGAACTTTCTCCTCTATCAACTCTCCCTTTCTCCAACACTAACTGCACCACAACTACTACGACTTGGCATTACTGTTTGGCATGAATTCTTTTTCATCTCCAACTCATTCCAACCTGCAACTTTTACCCTTGGCGTTCCGCAACTGAAAGAATCAGGGTTAAATTTCCATCACGGGTTGGTTAGGTGACCCACCTGTTGTGGTTGATGGTTTCCATGGTGCATGCGTAAAGGACTGGGGTGCGTCAATGATCACTCGCTGGTGCTCGCGGAGGGAGTTACTGTCGCGGTGATACAAGTTGTAACGATCATTGGGAAGCCAATATTCATACTCAATGCCGGAACTGTTTTCCGTAAACAGAACCTGTGCAAATATTTAACAAAGAAAGAGTAAGAGGTTACATGACTGTCTGCCCAAACCATAGCAATTTACAGAAAAAGTCATTCAGCCCATCATTCAGCCCAGTTTTCTGGCTCTTTAAGAGAAACCGAATTTAGGAGTTTTCCAAAATTCTGCACCATTTTACATTTTAAGGGAATCAATGGTCTGAAATTTGTCATGAAATTTGTAAGTTTGGTCATTGCACTCGTGTCCAGCACAGTGGGCAAATGCACCAATCCACTGGTTTGCTACTAGTCATACAGAGCAGGAGAGTTCAGGGTTTGAATCAGCTGATCTGAGCCATAGTAGCAGTTGGGGCATTGTACTTAGCCTTGTTGTCCTCTGTTTCAGGAGGGAGAGAGAGAGAGAAAAAAACTAGGTTTCTACTGCCGATTGCTTTCTCGTAGCCTCTGCTGGAGTTTACTCGAGTGCAGACATTAATAATAATAACAACACTGGTGAAACCTGCATTCGAGCTTGGCTCTGATGCTTCTTAGATGAACAGCTTGATCCCATTCACTCTCTGGGCTCATGCACAGAGGATGGTCAGAGCCCGTGGAATGGGGTGGGTGGGGGGGGGAAAAGAATTGGGAGCCAGTGAGAAAACTTCAAAGACTGTTCCATCTTCCAGAAATGCAGTGTTTTATAAAAACCCACAGTCCAATAAACATGTCATAGAAAGGTCGTAAGCCTTGGCACGGATATGAGTTTCGCCTCTCACCTCGCTGGAAAACTATGGTTTTTTACTGAGCATCTGTCACCAGCTATTTTTAATCCAAATGTGAACTATGTTCTGGCACTGTACCCAGAGCTCACATCTGCAGTGTGTCTGAAAATTTACCTTACTGGTTTGCTTGAGATCCTAGACTCGCTCCCTGAGAGTGGGTCTGAGGTGAATCAGGACTTACTGTACAAGAGGTGGGCAAATGTAACGGAAGGCGATGGATAGGTAAACAGAGTGGAGGGTACACATGAAGGATTGTGTAAATAGAGAGAAGGGACAGTGTGTTACCTACTCTTATGAGTTCAAAGAAACCACAAGCGGAAAGAAACATCACAATTCAGTCAGTAGCAGAACATGTAATGCATTTGCACGATATGGTCCTCAACCAACGATAATCAAGCAAAACACCAGACTATTCATCTATCCCCACATCTAGATTACACAATCTGCTCGCCCTTCCCAACCCCCCCACCCGCCAACAACACGGAAACAATGGAACATTTGTTCGTCACAGTTTGCACCCATCTCACTCTCCACCAATGCCACCCAACCAAAGCATTGTCCAGTTCTGTTTTGAGAGAGTTAAATGATGCAGCACCATCTGGTTTTATTGGGCATGTGTGGCACGTATTCACTACTCTAGAGATTAAAAAACATTTCTTTCTTCTCCAGTTAACTTTGAGGTTCATTTGTTTCACAGAGAAATGACACTTCGCAGGTCCAAGTCATTACGCAATTGCTAGCAGTGATCTTGAGCTAAAAATCACTGAGTTTCATGAATACTTGGGGAAATTATAGAGGAGAGTATTGGATGGACAGAGACCACTTCAGCTTCTCTTATTGCAATCACTTCTGCTGGGACTGTAGTAAAGAGCTTCCTTAAATGAATCACGTTGTTCATTAGAGCCCCTTGACTTGGATATTTATTTATTGATAGTTTTATCATTACCATTATATGCAAATCCTCTTTGGTAGGGCCCATCGCTTCAAAACTCTCCTTGTTATCTGCGGATCGTCTGTAATGCACTTTGGTTCCTGCCACTGGATAGGTTCCCGGCCAGCTAATCACCCAATCACCATTGATGACATATTTGTAACTTCCATTCCTCAGTGCTATGGAATGAACCAAAAGGGGTAACAAATCAACAAACAAGCATGTCTAGTTGTTCCTCATTAAAATAGCAATATGGCATAAATAGAACACTTGGGCCTTACACCCAACGATTTCCAATGGGAATTTTTAATAAGGGAATGATCTATTTTCAGCACGGAGTTCCCCCAGGTCATGCTTAGAGTCTTTACTGGATTAAGGACACATTACCCACACATTAACCACCAGTTTTCAAGAGGGAATTAGATAAATATAAAAGGTTATTATGGGAAAAGGGCAGGAGAATGTAGAACCAAAATGCTCTTTTCAAAGAACCAACACAGGCACAATGGGTCGGATTGCCTTCTTTTGTGCTATAAATTTCTTTTGTTCCACAGTTCAGAAACTAAGGATTTAGTAGTCTTAGAATTCTCTTCAATAGGTGGAACTGATTACATGTCCCATTACTATTACCCCAACTGAGATGAGCTAACTCAGCATAGACCTAGGCCTAACCTTGCCACTGGACACTTTGCTCAGTGAGTCCTTCAGGGAATTAGTACGAGTTCTTATAAAAATAGAACATCTTTGATCTGATTTCCTTATCACTGTAAGAAGCTACAACATCATATCCTCACCAGCAATCTTTCTGTGGATTCGGACAATAAATGCCTTACGTTACTACATGCGTAAATGCATGCAGTTGTAGATGGTGCCCTCATAAACATGCAACATTCACCAAAAAATCGTGAGCTCAGATTAGGATTATTATTCTGATGCAACATTCTGATTACAAAGGCAGATATCTCCATCAGGTTTATCACTCAGAGAGACAAGTTCATCTTTGGGCAAGTGAAGAAATCTGCATATTGATGGTATCAGAGCTTAGCTTCCCACTGTAGTTTTAGAGCTCCAAGGGATTTTACCCATTGTTAAGTTACTACAGCGGCTACAAATAATGTGTGTACCTGCAGAGACAGGTCAGACAATTAATCAGAGCGTCTGAAGATAAGGGTTACGGTAAGTTACACCTGGGAACATAACACTGACATCTAATCATGGCTATAGACTTGTCCATAGTTGGGGGAGGGAAGTATGCATAGGGGCTGACGTCTAACCTTCATCCGTATGTTTAACTGTGTACAGTTCACCTTCTCTCATGTGTAAAAACGCAATTGATAATTGGAATAGTGGTATCCACTGGAAGCAGGGAGATCTTAGTCGAGTTGGATCAAGACAGTGGTGTTTTGTTCTGGTCTATAAATTTCCTTCATTTCCCTCTACAATCCCCAAATATGATCTTGTCATCAAAGAGAAGGCAACAACAAGTTAATCAGGAATCAGCAGTGACTGGAATCCAAGATCTTTAGCCTTGGGGGTGCAAGTCTCGTGTGAAGCTGTTACTTGGAATTAGAATTATTTAGGGTAAATCGTCCTTATTGGTTGGATAGGATATAACCTTCATTCGATACATTTTCCATGTGCCAATCGAGGCTTGTACCATCAAGTCTGATCCCTGTTTATCCAGGGCAATGGGTTTGTATTTATAAAGTTCTATGTCTATGTCTGAAGTGGGTATCAAAATCATAATCCTAGTGGGAGCTTTCTTCACATCCAATTCACTGTGCTTAGAGTATAAACCTCCATCCTACTACAATATTCATTTGGATGCATGACCTACTTCCAAGCCTTGTGGAACAAACTCATGCCAGTTTCCCACCCCCTCACTCACACTTATGGACAGGATACAAGATAAGGCTTGTCTTGATACACAATGCTTTTCACAGCTGTAGCCTCTGACCTTGCTCTCTCCATCACAATCTTTCCTTTCTCTATTTTATTGAGACTACAATGATTGTTGCTCCTATCAACTGTCCTTTCTTTTTCCTCCAAAGCTCCAAATATCCCATTCTACACGCCTGTCTCTGTGTGCTCATGAAACCCCAGCAATGAGGTTCCCACACGAAATTCCCAGGGATTAGAATGGAGTACTCTGGGGACCAAATCCAGATAACAGGACCTGGAAGGGCAGACCAGTCACTGGGGGCAGAGAATCCTTCCAGGACTGTTAGATAGCTGCTGTTAACCATGTAAGCCAAAGCCCTAACGGGGAGGGTGGTCCTAGCTGGACAAGCAGCAGGAAAGCTTGCTAGATAGCAATATCAATGGCAAGCTACACGGTTTTAGCTGGTTAGACTCCAGCAGTCCCCCAAACTTTGGCTCCTGCCAGCCTGTGGCTAATACTTTCCGGGATTAGGCAAGCAGAATGCTTCCCTCCAGGGAGAGAGCCCACATTCCAATCCAACAATTGATCTCTGGGATTTCCATGTTTAGGTGGGATGCATGGAATTCTCATTTTGGTTTGGATGGTGATGGGTTAAGCATGATGATGGGTTTCCACGTGTCTCAGATACCCAGCTACACACCCCACCCCCCAAAAAAAATTCAGATAACATATTTTCATCCTCAAACTAACAGCAGATCATTCGTACAGTCAAGGTAAAATAATTTCTTACCCAGATAATTCTTGCTGTTGTCAGTCACTTTGATGTACGTAGCACCAGCTGGGATCATTGTTACCTCATTGTATCCAAAGGAGCCTAGAGAGAGGGGGAGAGAGTCTTACAGCCAGTGACTTATTATCGAAGAGTGCCCAACATTGTAAAAGGATGCAAGAGGCAGTGTCATTATTGATTGAATGCTACAACGAGTAAATGTGCCAATCAGGGGATTACTAAACTGTGTAGTTCAGAATCCATCTGGAGTTTGACGATCCCAGAGATCTCCTGACAGATTGTAAGGGGGCTACAATTTGGCTCAGTTCCTCTAGAATGGTGGGTTTGGGGGGGGGTTCGAAAGAATCAGCCAGCGATCCTGCTCCTGATCGCTACCAGATGATTCCCCATCTAATAGCCCTAGATGGGAGGGGTGGGTGGACAGTGGATGAGGAATATCAAGTTCAGATTTAATATCTTCCACCACCCCCCAATACCCTGCCCCCTCCCAACACTGACTGCAAGCCCGGAGAATCTGCTTTCCGAACTTCACAATACAAGGATACAAACAACTGGTGATCAGGAGTTATATCGATGGAACAACAGCCCGACGACAACCACCAGCGCCATTACTGCCCCCACTGCACCACTATGGACACCCCCCCGATTTTAAAGCCTCTCCAATATCTAAACCGGGGGTTGCAGGTCCGTAGTACTGGGGAGGAAATTTATTTGTGAGCTGGGGGGGTGGCATGGGTTAGAGGGATGGGATTTCAAGATATGAGTACCCAACCCTAATAATGCAGACCTCTACATGCCACACACGCATGTTTGCGTGTGTCATGAACTACATGTGCATTCCACTCAGGGGCTCAGGGTAGGATAGCGGGAATGACGGCCCATTGCTACAGGTAAATACAATGTAATGTACTATAACACAAAGTCACACTGATCACGATGCTGTTATTTTACTGTGTGGATCGAAAGACAGATAGACACGAAGGAGCAATCCCTGAGCCAGGGACCAGGCGGAGCAGTCACCAGGGTTGTGGAGTTGGGTCACGTAGATACTGTGGTAGTGTTGGCATGTGTTGTTGTGGCCCCCACACACCCGGCACACGTCCTCCTTCTCCTCCGAGCCCAGAATCTGGTCACAGCCAATTTTCTGTCAGGGACGGAGAGAAGGCAAATTTAACCCTGGGTCAATAGAACACAATTTACGCTGCATCAGTTCATTCCTCTTTGCTGTCCATGGTTCTCTTTCCTCCTCCTCTCCCATTGGTGCATGTAGCGCTGCTCCACAACACCCTCCAATACCTCGTTCCAAGTGACTTTTATTCGTGTGCGTCGAGGATTGACAGGGTATCGACTGCCGAGCCTCGATACTGGTCTCACCCAATAGTCGCCATACACACTTGCGCACTCCTTCCAGCAGCCATAGCAACCTCTCCCTCAAGACTTACATTTAAGATAATGCAGAATATTGCAAAATGTTTAATTTGAAGCTGCCTTTTCTCAGTTCACAAGAAGAAACCGGATTCCAAATTAAGATTGAATGTATCCGTTTTACAAAATTCTGCTAAGAACTTAAATTCGCAAACACGAAGCCGAAATCGTGAGGAATCTCAGGTCTCAGAAGCAGGGAACACTGACTGGTTTTCTCCCTATTGCAAGAGACCTGAGTTCATTTCCAGGCAGGGCGAAACCTTGGGCAAGTTTCCTTACTCCACACGCCTAATAATAATCCCTCTAAAAACCAAAAATAATAAATTGGTCATTTTCAATCTACGACTGTTTGTGGGACAATTGGCTGCCGCGTTCGCCCACAAATATACAGTCAATTCATTTTACAGTATATTCTGTAAAGCGCTTTGGGACGTCCTCCTGACGTGAAAAGCGCTATATCAAATGCAAGGATTATTATTATTATAGCTGCTGAGGCCAATTCCAGCCCAATTGGTGTCCTGACTGAGATAGGCTCACTAGGCACACTCTGTGTGCTCCATTATGAAGTGAAGCTGACAATGCACAACACAGTGAATAATTTCCACTCTGCGTCCCAGCTGTGTCCAAACCCATGTCCTCACGTAGAGCACATCTGGTGTAAGCTTAATGGAGTCACTGTGACATTGGAGTCAATCCTGTGGCCATCCCAGGAAGGAATGCTGAGACCCTGACCTCGGCCTTCAGCACAGACTCTCTCTCTCTGGTTATGATGCAGATAACCATTTTCGAGTTGATTCATTCAATTGATAAATAAATACCGTGGAGTATTAATGACCACACACCCTATATAAGATTTCACTGCTCATGGCCAGGATCGTGCAAAGAAGCAAAGTTCAAAGAAACCCAATTTTAGTTTCACCTACAAAAATACACAGTGAATTCACTTCACAATATATTCAATGGCGTGCTTTGAGACGCCTCAATGATATGATAAGATGCTATCAATTGCCCAAGTATTATTATTATAATAATTCCACACTCGCAGAAATACTCGCTCTGATCATGAGTACTTTAACGCCTTTCAATAATGTCACTTCTATTTTGCTGGGGATAGGATCAATGGCCGGAGTTGGAGTCCATGTTATAATAATAATAATCATCACATGGAGGGGGAAAATTCCAAGTGACCCTTTTGACAGACACACACTAATACATAGCAATTAACTTCCTCCACCTGCCTCACACCAGCACTCACCAGGCATTTTCCATTGATGCAGACATCCTTCGAGTCCGGATGGCATTCGGTTCCATCCAGGACTCGACCAAAACTGTAGTAAAAGTTCTGACCTTTTGCTAAACAATTGAGCTCACATGGGCTGACACCTGCAATAGAAAAAACAATGTTCACTACTCCAGCAAGACAGTAGCACTCATAGAGACTGTGACCGGGATTTCAGTGGAAATATTTACCTCTCATTCACTCAAAATACCCAACAGCACACAATGGATTTATCCTCTCTTACAGAGAGAATCCAGCCATGCAAAGATCGAATCACGCACTGGTGCTGCCAGTAAAAGGGGAGCAGTTTGAGTGGTTATAAGAAGTGATGGTTTGGAGGTGATTTTTCATCATTCTATGCATGTGCCTGGGGGTGCACAGGCAGAGGTGAATATGTTTATCTATATGCATGGAGCGTGGAGGTATGTGTGCTGCGTTCATATGCGTTTGTACAATGGTGTACATACGCTTATGTGCATGGGGTGTGGGTGTGTCTGAGAGTGTGGTTTGTGTATGTATGCATGTATGTTTGTATGTATGTTTAATAGTCCTGTGTGTGTGGATGTCAGTGAGAACAGGTTTAAAGCTCTGGATAGGAACACTCTACTGATACTCACTGTCTGGACTGCAATGACGAGGCAGCAGAGATGCCTGCTCCCAGCAGACAGTTCAGTGCCTTCGGGACAAGCCCGGAATACATTCAGCCGGTACCTGGCAGGCCCTAGTGGCACCTACCTCCATAAAAAGGAACCCATTCAAAATGTATATCTTGGTTTCTAAGCACAGACTGGCCATTGTACACAGTGCATTGCATCTCCCGGAAATCCAGCACTCCATGGGGACAGTCCTGTAGCACACAGAGAGTTAGTGACACACAAGGTGCATACCGCCTACACATGCTATAACCCACTCCTTTCCCAGTCAGCCACACCCCCACCCCCAATAAACACATACCTGACCATCACCAGCACACCTGCCCGCATACAGACACTATAACCCTCACTATAACCCTCCTCCTAGCCACACACATGCACAGACACATCCCTGTCAGGGATCCAGTTAAATCCAGGAGTGGATTTTGGAGTGCAAGAGAAATAGAAAAACAGAGTATTCTGCTTTCTCCCACTACTGAAGAGTAGAGGAGCCAACAGATAATCCCAGGATTATCCACGCAGAAACCCAGAGACAGGATGTGGCTGCCTGGATTCCTAGTTGGTATAAGTCTCACCAACATACAATATGAAGTGAAGTCAGGGCAAAAACAGGTAGCAAGCAACTGAATACAGTAGTTCCCTGGAAGGATGAGAGGAATGCAATGTTACCTCAGTACTGCAGATCTTATATTGTCGCTGGGTCCCAGTACAAGTCTCTGCAATGGGGTTCCTAAAACAAACACATTCCAGTTAGAAAGCTCATTTCTGAAGTGACACAGCTTCAAGGCTACAAAATGTATCATGGTTTTAGCTTCAAGAGCATTGACTGAACATTGTTTTTATTCAGTGTTTATGTAGGCTGGTCATTTTGAGATGACTCGACGACCTGAATAAGACACTATAGCCATTCTTCTGCAGTTCTTATTGAGAACTGTCTTGCAAAGGAAGATGGACTCTTAGCATTTTTGAATGATTATACTGCAAGATTAAGGTTTGAAGAATAAAAAAAACAATAACCCTTGCATTTGGTATAGCACCTTTCAGGTCAGGAGAACGTCTCAAAGTGCTTCACAGGATTTGTGGTGAAGTGTAGTGACTGTGTGTTTTTGCAGGTGAAAAGTAAGCCTATGAATGATTTGGGGTTTCTGGATGCGAGGCTGGTACCTGATGATGCAACTCCGAGTCCTGGTGGCTGCTCCTCCCCCACAGCTCCTGGAGCACGGGGACCAGCTCTGCCACTCGCTCCACGCGTTGGCAAACCGTAGCTGACGTCGGAATCTGTCTGGCAACCAGTCAGTGCTCTGAGAGAGAGAGAGAGAGAGAGAGAGAGAGAGAAAGAGGAGGGAGAGAATCAATTTATATGTGCGAAAGGTAAAATAAAGCCATGTAAAATAAAGCTTTTTTTTCAATAAATTGTCTCATCACATCAATACATCTCTTCTCATATCATTACTCTCAAGCGTAGTGACTGTATTTGATGGCCAGGTGTGTCACACACAGCCATGAGGCGAATTATCAATTTATCTGCTGGCCGAGAAGATGGCAAGGGAAACTCGCTTCTCTTTCCAATAGTGTCACGGGATCTTTAAAGCCCACCTGAACAGGTAGATGGGATCTCGATTTAATGTGGCTCACGAGTCTCAGCTTAGACTTTTTCCAGATTCTGATTCCAATGTCTTCCCTGAAGAGGCTGTGCTGAGGCCAGAAAGCTAGTCATCAAATTAGAGTAGGTTTGTCACCATTAGCTAATCTTTGTGTGTGAGCCTCAAACGTGAAAAACAGTCATCCCAGGAAGATAGTCATTATTCTGAACCTGCAGGCAATTCTGAGGGTTAAAAGAGATTATATTAGTGTTGCGGTGAGAGTTATTTTCATGCAAGGGAGTGTAATCCTTTTTGGAACAAAGAGAGAAAGAGGGGCAGGAATGGTGAATTGCTGCAAACCAGAGCTGGGAGTGATTACGCGAGTCTGCCAAAGTCAGAGGGAGGCAACGCGGACAGCACTGGGTTAGTCGGTATCTGTGCTGGGTTAAATGTTTTTTTGTTCCACATTAAGAACTGAAGCACCCACGGGGAATCATTCCACTGCAATGAAGGGATAATGATGCATGTTCAGACCATTAATGTGATTCGCACTCCTGCCAGCAAAAGCAGCATTGCCTGCAAAGCAGCAGACACCACAAGCTGCTGACGCAGCTAATTAATAAGCATTAAAGATATATCCCAAAGTGATGAAGCCAGACCTCTGGGGAGGGCTGTAAAGGTCAATTTGCTGCACCCAAAAAAAAATCTGGAAAACGCAGGAGTCCCGACTGTTTTTACTTCTCGTTTTCTTCTCTGACTTGACTTCCTTCCGCCCCTATCCCCATGTGGCACAATTCCCTGTCCTGCTCCCAGCCTCCAGCCAATGCTCCTTCTCTTAGCCAGCCCCCGTAGAGCACGAGAGCAGCAGCGATGGAGCCCGAGTGTTCCCATAAATCTCTCTCCCTTTTCCCCTGTGGGAAAGCTGGGTCTGTCCAGCTGTGACCTGCCGTTGTGAAAAGATAGCCGGGGTGGACAGCTCGTGGTGCCGAGGATAGCCATTCTCCCAGAAAAAATATTTTGTAGCAATTCTATGGATTGACAACAACAACAACTTACATGTATAACGCCCTCCACGCAGAGTAGTGTCCCAGAATGCTTAACAGTGGCGGAGCCTGACTCCGAACCGGGGGGAGAGGTGAGAGTAGGCACAGTCAAAAACGCAGGTTTTCAGGCGGGGCATGAAAAAGGGAGAGAGGGGGCAAGGCGGCGGGATTGAGGGAGAGTGTTCCTGAGTTTCAGGGCATAGTGGCTGAATGTGCGACCTTCGATGGTGAAGCAGAGGATGTGAGGGACAAGCAGGAGGCCAGTGCTAATCGAGTGGAGGTGCTGGTGGTGGATTGGGGAGTGAGGAGGTCGGAGAGGTAGGGAGGTGCCAGGGAGTAAAGGGATTTGAAAACAATAAGGAAACCCGTTAAAATTTCCGTTGACAAGTGAGAACGCCACTACGGATGTTAAAATGGTGTACCCACAGGTCGATGAGAGTATCCAGGCATCCCAATTTCTGTAACGTGGCTTGCTTAATAAATTACTCCACTAAAAGTGTTTTAGAATTGGTTTCTTTTCAATTAAAAAAAAGTTTAGTGGCTCAGTGAAGAATTAGAGTAAGAAAGTTGTTCATGACATTGAAGCTGTTTCATTCAGTGTCCTATGTATGTTTGATCCAGGGTCGCAGTACACATGTTGAAACCAACTAAAACCAGTCAACCCAGGGAGACTGCAGTTTCTCTGGAACCTCAGGGCTAAAATAAAAATGTGAGTGTTGGTTCCATAAAATGGTCTGAGGTCAGCCGTATAATAGTTAAAGCTCGGAAATAAAAGTTGCTACTTACATGTCCAACCAGCAGACATATTGCAAGAGATAAAAGGGTGAGGCAGGTGAGGGTTAGGCATCCAAACACAGCCCTAGAAAGAGAAAACGTCAGAACAGCTTTTAATGTTGGCCACACCTCTCCATCCCAACGTGCTGTGGACATTTTGCTGGGTCAGGTCAAGCTATGACATCGATAATACAGATGATCCAAAATACAGGCAGCCACTTATTAACACCTTTCACTAAAGAGAACATCTGAAAGTGCTTTAAATCAACACTGTTCCTTTGAAAACAGGGATGGTCACAACTAATCAACACCTAACAGAAATGGACTCTTTCTTCAATGAATCAGATGATGGAGACACTGTCTGGAGTAGAACTGCCCCCGCCCCACCACCACCATTTTCCCCGGTTCCTTGTTTGTGCTGAATTGGATGATCTCAGTCAGGGCAGTCGCTGGGGCTACTAATGGCCTCAGTGCTCCCTGGGTTTATGGAGGGTAATAATAATAATCCTTCCATTTGATTATATAGTGCCTTATCACGTCATTGAGGTGTCTCAAAGCACATCACAGGATATACTGTAAATTGGTGTGACTGCGTATTTTGTGGTTAAAATTAGCCAAGTTAAATATTAAATAAGGCTTACATTTACATGCAGAGCTGTTCATCTCAGGAGGCTGTATCAAAACGCCTCACGGGATTTACTGTAAAATACCTGTGTGGCAAAGTTTCTGCTCTTGAGCTCCTATTTGGAGAGTGTGGAGACTGGGCTAGGACAGACTTGGACTGGTCTTAGATGCTCCCCGTGATTGAATACCCTGTCCACACTCAATGATGAGACCATAAACCAATAAACTTTAACTGGACAGGTGGACTGAAGTCTAAAACTCTCCTGGGTAAAGAGTGGTAATGGGAGAGTGGGAAATGATTGCAAAGTACAAAGTGTTTGTACTCAAGTGCCATGGTTAATTTTCAAAAGATTTTATTTGTTGACGGTTCACTTTATTCATTGTTTGCATAGATGTGTGAGCTCAGGAGCCAGTCAGACAGTATAAACTGGAGTCATAAACTTGGGTGCAAACTGCCCAGTGCCTTGGGATATCTCCCTAACTAGAAAGGCACTATATGAATGAAATTTGTTTTCATTCATCAGATTGTCGAGTGCCTTGGGACGTTTTAATGGAATTGGAATTGACATGCAGATAAATATTTGTGTGTGGGGATGCGTGTAAATTTGCACAGAATCTGAATTCAAGGCAGATTTTACAAATTGTCCAGACCTGATTACAATCTAGATTTGGAGTATGATTGTGTTCCCCGCCCCCCCACCCCATGACACAGTTGGCAAAGCCACGGTGCAGAGACCCTGTGTTTTATGATCCTGAAATGGTCACAGGTTCAATCCCCAGTCCGTGCCAAGTTAGCTGATGGAGGTCAGAGTCACAGTGTATTTTAGCAGCACTGATTTGGGGTGGGGGGAGAATCAGCCACAATTTCCCACTCCTGATTGCTGCTGAGTGACTTTCTCAAAAGCACAGAGTATGTGGCCAGTATTGGGCTTGGTTCCCATGCTTCATAGCTTATAAACGTTACAGCACAGGAGGAGGCTAAATGGTCCATTGAGACTAAGATTATGAACTGTAGATAAGGAATCCCAATTCCCTGCTCTTTCCCCATATCATTGTACCAGTATTTTCTCCCTCTTTGCTTGCCACGTTCACCCACAAACTAACAGTCCCACCATTTTACAGCAGGGTGGTCAAATTGGTGGCCTGTGTGTCTGGAGCCCAGGCTCGGCGGGAAAAACACGATGCACCACTTAACAGCAGAACCCGTCAATTACTTTCAAACCAGTAGCAGGAGAGACACACGCAGATACAGTGAGATACAAAGACACGCAGTGACAGAGAGAGAGATAAAGAGACACACACACACAGAGATACATAGGCAGACAGAGAGAAGACACACACACCAAGAGGGAGAGATATAGAGACACACAAACATAGCGAGAGAGACAGACGGACAGATACAGAGATACACGCAGACAGAGAGATACACACACGGTTACACAGAGATGCACTTCAATCCACAACTGTTCCACAACCGCAATTGGCTGCCACGTTTCGCCCACAAAAATATACAGTCAATTGACTTTACAGTATATTCTGTGAAGCGCTTTGAGACAGCTTGAAGACATAATAAGGCACTATATTAAATGCAAGGACTATTATTATTATAGGTACACACACACACAGATGGATACCTTGTCACTGACTGTTCTGTCTTAAGGTTTGTATGAATTTTTACATTGCCTAATTAAAGTTTGCATTGCAACTGCAATTTAGTACAATTTAGTAAAACAATGACACAATTTAAAGCACAGGATGTCTGGATGATTCTTACTGGTTATCTTTAAGGAAGGTCTACACAAAAATATTGCTTATCCAGCCAGTGGACACTTAGCAAATCCAGCATCCAGCCCTCAGCAGCCCAAAAAGGTTGAACCACCCTGTTTTTACAGTATATACCACGAAGCGCTTTGGGACATCCTCAGGATGTGAAAGCCATTGGGACCGAATGTGAGCATTATCATTTTCCCATCAAATATTTACGCGACCAAATTCTTTTAAGATGTTATGGCCTCTATCGTGACTTGTGGCAAAACATTCCACATTCTGGTATGCAAAACCAAAGGCACCTCTTCTGCTGATAACAGTGGGGTTGTGCAGGACTTACGCATTGAGAGGAATGATCACTTGGATGGAATAGGGAGGGCCAGTGATAACTGGGTTGGTATCTCAATTGGAAAGGGAATAACTCGCTCATCACTGATCTACACAGTATGTGGTGCAGTATTTACAGCATTGCACAGCTCTCGTGTTGGGCAAGATCTGATCCATCAGAGTTCGGTTCACTCAACATGTTGAAACATACACAGTGGAATTTCATCATATGAAATACATCGGAAAGGAATGTTCATTATAACACGAATAGACGTGTACTGTACAAAATGGACCTAACAGATAAATCTGTACGTGTAGCCTCCTCCATGCATGTCAGGCAGGTCAGCACTCCTCTCAGCAGCCAGACTGGCTCATTTGGAGTTTAAATTGCAGCCTATTTTCGGGTGAGTCACACTCTCGAAAGAAAATAACCAGTGCACCATTTGCCTGAACAAATCTGCAATCATAAATCACATAAAGGTGTTGTCTCTCTCCACTCTGGCAGCTCACTTCACCCCAACCCACCCACCCAGACCTGAGTACACTGCTCGCCTATTTTACCCTAATATCACCCAGTGGTTCAGGCACAGACAGAACAGACAGACAGACAGACAGACAGCCAGACAGGTGCATTACCTGCGGGTGAGGACAAACATGCTCCCAGCGTCAGACCTCCAAATCCTTCCACTGAAACGCCTTCTCTCCTCTGGTGACTGCGAGTACAGTAATATGTGTAGGATCCGAGGAAGAGACAGAGAGTACAGTGCAGCTGGTGATAGCCAGAGCTCACAGCAACGATTTAACACAACACTCCGGGATCAATCGCCCACAATCTACGACCCCAGACCCATGTGAGCCAATGCCCATCGCAGAATCCGGGGGAACGTTGCATTTCTCCCCCCACACCCCCCCACACCCCCACAAAAAAAAACGAACCACGCAGAAAAGCAATAAACTGCACTAAACCAAAGTAACCTGCGGGGGGGGGGGTGGGGGGGGGCTCTCCTGGGGGGAGGGCAGATCAGATCAGATCAGATCAGATCAGACAGGTATCTGACACGTGCCCATCGATCCCCTTTTTATTAGTTCAGGGACATCCTCAAAAAGACCAAAGGACACGACAGAGCGAGAAGGGGAAAAGTGCCGAAGGAAACCACACAAACACACAGCCGCCAGGTAGGTACAGACAGAGTACACACACACACACACACACACACACATATATATACATATAATATATATATAAACCGCACCAGGAATTCCTCTGCTGTGCAAAGTCCCTCTCACTTGTGGGTGGGTGGGTTGGGGGGTGGGGGGGGGGGGGGAGAGAGAGATAACTTTGCAATAAACGTTTTGTTTACATCAGGTTTCCCCCCCACCACACCCCCCCCCCCAAAAAAAAACAAAACAAAGTCCAGCTGAGAGTGGAGAGTGTTGCCCCCTTTTCTCTCCTGTCAGTGCAGATGGTGTGCTGGAGCCCTGTTGCTGAACACACTCAGTCTCTTCTCTCAGCTCCTGGTATCCAGATGTCCTCTCTCTCTCTCTCTATTCTTGTTAACTCCTCTCTCTCTCTCTCTCTCCTCTCTCCTCTCTCTCCCTCTCTCTCTCTCTGTGTGTGTGTGTGTGTGTGTGACTGTCTGTCTGTGCATCTCTCTTCCTGGACTGGTCTCACCTCCGGAGTGATCGGACGCCTCTGGGTCTCACCTGTCCATTCGCAAGGCTCCCTCGGTGAGGGTTAAAGGTGGGTGAGATAGCTCACAGCCCCTCCTCTCTCTCCCTCTCCCTCTCTCTCTCTCCCTCTCTCTCAGCTTCAGTCAGTTCACAGGTCCATGTGAACCAACCTTCAAACACCACAGTGCCTCATCTCATTGGTGCCGACGCTCATCGCGGATATTATTTTCTCTCTCTGATTTATATCAAAAGTTTGCAAATGCTTCCTGCATTTTTTTTTGATTTCCCCTCCTCCTCCTCCTCCCCCTAACCCCCCTCCCACCCCCCCCCCCACCCCGGGCTTGGAGTCAGGTGCACATTTCCTGCCCACCCCCAGGTAAACAGATCCCTCTGCAACCTCCAGTGAGTGAGTGAGTGAGTGTGAGTGAGTGAGTGAGTGTCTCCAGTGGAGGTGGCTGTGAGATGGGAGTCAGTGTGTGTGCAGTGTGTAGTGTGTGTGGATTTTTTTTTTGTGAATGGCTTTTTTTGGGGGGAATTACAAACCACTTTGATACACCTTCAGCCGCGCTCAGCCAATGGCAGCGCCGCTCCCCTGGGCATTGCCAGTCTGCCCCACTGGCTGGGCTCGGGGAGGCAGGTCCTGAGGGAGGACTTGACCAAATCCAGTCTGGATCACCAGCAGAGGAGATAATAACACACAAGTACTCGATGGGAATCAATGGCCTCATTCTGAGCTAAGACACTTCTGTGTTTCTAGAATTCCAGTGACACAGAGTTGTTGTGCAATGGACCAAATCCAGTGGCTCTGTGTACAGGGTGTTCACAAAGTCCTGTTACACCCTGTGTTGCTTTTCTTACAATGATTTTTTTTTATTTTCTGTGGCAGATGAGTTCAGTGTAACAGTGTCGGACATCAATAACTTCCTCGGCACTACGAACTTGGCGGCAGATCATTCATTGAAATGAATGATGATGGCGTTCATCCCAATCCTCTGGATGTCTAAATAACAGTTAATCACTTGTACTGCATACAATTAAGTACTTCTAGATACAATTATCATCATTATTCCATATGTTTCAGTTGTCGGTCAGTGCAATGTAAAAACAAAAATAGGGATAACAGGAATTTATGAACACACTACAGCGAGTCCAAGTAGCAGATTTGGGTCCTTGTGTTTGAATTCAGCGCAGACTGATAGGTCTCCATTCTCCGCTGAGTGTCTGCTTACGAGGTTATATAAATTCCCAAGAGATGACATTTTTTTTAAATGCTGGATGCTGCCTGGCTCACATTACAAGTGTTGTAATTCTTTTGAAGGTATTGTGTCTACAATCCCACAAATTGCAATTTAGATGGGGACGACACCATGGATTTAATACTTAAAGCGCATTTAGGGGCTTTCTTAAATGACAGCTAGGATTTCCTGAAGGGAAATTTCAGATGATATAATTATGGTATGGTGCTAACCACACTGGTAAAAACAAACTAAAAAAACCCCAAAGAAATCCAAGTACTGTAATCCTTTTCTTTTATTCTCTGCTGGAAGGTATATATGAGTGTTTATGTATATACAATCCTCCAAATAAAATTAGTCATTCACTTCATCGCTCTTTGCGAGACCATGCTGTGTCAAATTGTCTGCTGTGTTGGTCTACAAAATACACAGTCATTGCAGTTTACAGTAAATACAGTGCTTTGAGACCTCCTCCTGATATGAAAGGTATCATATCAAATTGAGGATTATTACACCAAATTACTCTATGCATGCCTGTAGGCATGTGTAGATACGTTTGCATGTTTCTACATATGTTTGTGTGTGCTGGATAAGAACAGCTTGTCCTTCCACAACCACATGGCTCTAACACATCAACACCTTATGTTTAATTAGCTTCTTTCACACAATGTCATAGCTCAGAACACTTGAATACCCAGTTGACACGGACTATCCAGCTTGCACATGCTCTAGGACACTCATAGATCTAGACCCAGACTGAGCCAGAGACAGAGAGGTGGGGAGAAAACACCTGCCCCAACCACGGAAAAACACAACTAATGCCTTATACAGTATAGTGTAAAAAATTATGCATCTGTAGTAGTAGCATTAGACAAACAAACCAGCTTCGTTACCAGATCCGGCCTTAATTACCCCAGTCTTTATAACCACTGTTTAACATTTCACATATCTGAAGTCTATCTTCATCTAGAAACTCACTCAAATTCACGCAAATCCCTTCCCATTTCATGCCAACGTACTTGGTGGAACCAGTTGTACCTCAGTACTGTGAGTTGTACTGGGAAATGGTTCCACAGGTTTCAGTCATAGTCTGATAACTCATCCCAAATGGTCATTCATTACATGTGAGAATGGATGGTTAATGTTGGCAGATTATTCGATCAGAGGACATTGACAGCCATGCCCTGATCTTGTCCAGACCCACTAGCCGCATGCCCCAGCAGAATCTCCATTTAGCAATCACGAGTGGAAACACAGGCTGACTTTTTTCTTTCCCTTCCCCATCCCAGGGGCGCCGAGGCCAAATGTAGCCCCGTCTGAGATCAGCTAACTCAGCATGGAGCAAGGATTAAACTGGTACATTCCTGAACTGTTCGTCTCAGTTTCACAGCGGCTTTATCAACTGAGCCCCGGGTGGTGGAGTGGAGGGGGGGGGGAAGAAATATTTATGTGATTTTTTTGAAGGAATGTTTTGTATTCATTTATTCAGTTTTATAGCTTGGGATTAAATATTTCAGTTTAGCCATTTAAACACTTAGCCTCCAGCAATACTGAATCAAGCAGAACCTTTCCTGGCTTTGTCCCAGCATTTCCATTTATCAATCTACAGTAGGACTTCAAAAGCATAGCTGCCCCCATCCGGGAGCAGTGAGGAACTGATCCCTAATCATTTATTGGTATCGAATAATAGAATATCAGCCACAGCTGTTTCCCTGTGGTTCTGGCATCTCTTCTCATGCACGTCATCCACGTAAAAACAATGGCAGCAAATTAAAAAATAGAATTTGAATCATCTGAACCTGTTGTCCAAGCAGCTGGGCATCAACGGAAGCCATCTTCCTTTGTAAAATGTGACTCTGTGTATCTGTAGAGGAAAGAAGATTGTATAGTATTAAATATATTTCACTCTTTTCGGAGATTATTTGTCTACATTACTGAATGCTATTCCAAGCAAAGAATAGAATTTTACGGCTTTCCCTGAGGCCCTACATTTCTCATAGAGTGAGCCTTAGATTGTTGTTCTAAGATTGAATTCAGTCTTAATTAGAGATGTTTTGCAGTTCTTATAATAATCCTTACGTTTGATATAGCGCCTTATCACGTCGTCGAGAAATCTAACAGGATTTTACTGTGAAATTTAACAGCTATGTATTTGTGGGCTAAACAGAAATAGCTTCCAAATTAAGACTGCATTAGGGAAAAAAAATCTAAAATCCTGCCCAATCTTAAATTTTAAAACAACGGTCTAGGTGATAACACCATGAAAAATGTCTTTGACCACTCTGTTCATAAAGTCGCTTCTTGGAGAAGAACTGTCCTCCCTTGTCTCGGGCAGCTGCGACCACTTGAAAAGCCCCTTTTGCCAACCCAATTAAGATTAGTACAAAGTGGTGACAGAACCTCAGACCTTGCGGAGGTGTGAAATTGCTCATCATGTCGAATTCTTAAATTAATTCTTAATTTACTCGACCCTATTAATAATAACAATAATCCTTGCATTTGATATAGCTCCTTATCATATCTTCGAGACACCTCAAAGCACTTCACAGAATATACTGTAAAGTGAATTAACTGTATATTTTGTGGGCAAAACGTGGCAGCCAATTGCGCACGGCAGTGTCCCAGAAACAGTCGTGGATTGAGTAACCAATATTCTGCCTTTCTTAAAAAGAAGCAAGGAAAAACAGCTTGAATATGTAAGGTTGAATTTAAGAATTTGCCCAAATCCCATGGGTTGTGAAAATTTCAGTGGAATTAAGGTTTAACCGTGGAATTTCAGGCTCTGGTTTAGATGGGTCAGTTTCACTCCGGGCATCACCAGCTGAGCTACAATTCATATTTCCACACATTTTTAGTTAATTTGCGATCAATCCATAATAGTTTGAGTGAATTAGCTTGTCCCTGTAAAGAATGAATGGGCTTTGCTTCTTATATGTTATTCATGCCTGACAAATCAACTATGTTTACAAGTAAAAGAGGGCATGTACAGTATTGACATCTGCTGGTAGTCTGGATTCCACAAACAAGCTGCAGAATTAACTGGTGGCAAAAATTTTCCCAGCTCTGACAGACTATCAGTTTCTGATAGTTGCAGTAAGTGGAATACAACCTCCTTCAATTGCTGATGTCACGGCCAGGAGTGAAACCGGGTCATATCGATGCTGTTGGAATCCTGGGTTACGCTGAGTTAGCTGATCTCAGTCAGGCTTTTAGTGGTGGTGTGGGAGGTTGCAACAAATTCCAGGGCAAAAGTCAACCAGTTTCCCATTCCCAGGTTCAGAGAATCTGAGACTTACCTCACCCTCCTGTAGGTTGCACGTGTGTGGATGTTTGGCTGAGGAATGGTTTAGTGGGAGGCTGGTGTTTAAAATAAATCTATTGCAGTACAAAAGGTTTAGATTCTTTCAAGATTCTTTAAGATTTGAGTGGATAAACAGTGAAGGATTGTTCCCACTGGAAGGAAAACAGTAACAAAGGGGTCATAAACTGAGGAGGGTCACTGGAAGGATTAAGAGGTGGTTTGAATAATATTTTTTTCATAAAGAGGGTTGATGGAACATGGAAAGCTTTGCCACTACCAGCTATTGAAGCTGACACCTAAGCAACATTTGAAAGGGAATTGGATTAACACTCGAAGAGGAAGAAAATACAAGGGTAATGGCGGGAAAAAGTGCGGAATTGGGATGAGACGTTAAACCGAGATCCCACCTATCTTTTCAGGTGGATGTTAAAGATTCTGTGGCATTATTCGAATAGGGAAGTTAGTTTCTCTCTCCCAATGTACTGACCGACAATCCCTCCAATTAAAATTGGTCACTAGCTCCACAGCTGTGTGTGGGACATTGCTGTGTGCAATTGCTGCTGTGTTTCGCCCATAAAATCCACTTGACAGTATATGTTGTTGTTGCTTACAGTATATTATGTGAAGCATTTTGGAACGTCTCAACAATGTAATAAAGTGCTGTATCAAATGCAAGGATTATTATTAGTACAGCTCTAGTGAAGAAACTAGCACTATTTTAGATGCGGTGGCTGAATGTCGTCTGTTTGTCTTGTAATTTCCATGAT